AGCATCAGTTTAATATTTAGCTTCATATTTAGCTTCAGCATCAGTTTAGTATTTAGCTTCAGCATCAGCTTCAGCATCAGTTTCATCTTTAGCTTCATCTTTAGCTTCAGCATCAGTTTCATCTTTAGCTTCATCTTTAGCTTCAGCATCAGTTTCATCTTTAGCTTCATCTTTAGCTTCAGCTTCAGCATCAGTTTCATCTTTAGCTTCATCTTTAGCTTCAGCTTCAGCATCAGTTTCATCTTTAGCTTCATCTTTAGCTTCAGCATCAGTTTCATCTTTAGCTTCAGCATCAGTTTCATCTTTAGCTTCAGCTTTGTCTTTAGCTTCAGCATCAGCTTCGTCTTTAGCTTCAGCATCAGTTTCATCTTTAGCTTCATCTTTAGCTTCAGCTTTGTCTTTAGCTTCAGCATCAGCTTCGTCGTTAGCTTCAGCATCAGTTTCATCTTCAGCTTGAGCTTCAGCATCAGTTTCATCTTCAGTTTCATCTTTAGCTTCAGCATCAGTTTAGTATTTAGCTTCAGCATCAGTTTAATCTTTAGCTTCATATTTAGCTTCAGCATCAGCTTCGTCTTTAGCTTCAGCATCAGTTTCATCTTCAGCTTGAGCTTTAGCTTCAGCATCAGTTTCATCTTTAGCTTCAGCATCAGTTTCATCTTCAGTTTCATCTTTAGCTTCAGCATCAGTTTCATATTTAGCTTCAGCATCAGTTTCATATTTAGCTTCAGCATCAGTTTAATCTTTAGCTTCATCTTTAGCTTCAGCACCAGTTTAAACTTTAGCTTCAGCATCAGTTTAATCTTTAGCTTCATATTTAGCATCAGCTTCATTTTCGGCTTCAGCATCAGTTTAAACTTTAGCTTTATGTTTAGCTTCAGTTTCAGTTTTTAGTTTCAGTTTCAGGGACGTTTACTGCTGAACTTCAACTCCTCTGCTTCTTGGCTCTGAGATGTTTCCATTTCACTTCTTGTGAGGTGAAGTCAGTTCTTCAGAATCTGAAACTGATCCGGACTCTGAGGGAGACTTTCATTTAACACCTAAAGGTCAAAGAACCGGAGAACTCGGTTCTTCTATCTCTGGAACCCGTGCCAGGACGTAGACATGGTTCTGGAACACCCGATGTTTGTGAAGGGAAACTTGTGGTTCTGTTGAGGTTATGAAGCTTTGGGTCGAGTCCTGGGCCCGGATTCTGTCAGAAGCCAGTTTGAAGAAAACTTCATTTATTAAAAAGGATCATTAATATATTACAGTAATAATTATTATTATTATTATTATTATGACATCATGTGTGTGGAATTTTTAACTTTTAATCAATTTAAACAGTTTTAACAAACCTTTGAGTTCAGCTTGACGCTCAATAATTATGTTTATAATAGATGACAAATAAAACTGTATTTATCTCCAGATGTTTGCAGCAGCTTCATAACGGAACGATTTTTATTTAACTTTCTCTTAAAATAATTAAATCTTGTAAACTTGAACAAGTTATGAGCTCAACTTTCTTTTGTGTTTTGATCCAGAACAAAACAACTTTCTTATTTTCTGTTTCAGTCTCGCGCGCGCATACCTGTTGTGGACAGTGCGACGAAGTGACGTCACACAGACGCGCGCCTGACTGCAGGTTTCCCGCCGCGAGCATCAAAACGAAACTTTTCACCACGAAGTGAACAGAAGCGAAAGTTCGGGTGCTCGTGTCGCCCGCGGCTCGCGTGACTTTGTGGCTGTGGCCATCCAGGGAACACTTCAGGGGATTTCTTTCAAATCTGCGTCAGGAGATATTTTGCTAACAGACGCAAACAAAACGGCGGCGGGCGATAATGCAGTCATCCAGAAACATCTGGATTCCTGAAGGCACAGAAAAAAAAAAAGAGGAAGGTGAAGAGGAGGAAGCGCCAACGTAACCTCCTCCTCTTCTCTCATCACGCGCTCCTGGGCAGAAGGAGGAAACGATCCTCAGAGCTGAGAAGAGCGCGCGCGGACGAAGATGGCTGCCCCCCTGCTCCTCCTCCTCCTCCTCCTCACCTTCATCACAGGTAAGACCGACGTAAAACAGAAAAGACTGAGTCGAAGTGTCACAAAAATCCATTTGTGCCTCTTAGATGACTGCGTTATTATCGCGAGCGATCACGTAACTGCCTAGTGTTTGTTAGCAAAATATCTCATGACGTACTGGACGGATTGTGATGAAACTCTCAGGAAACACTGATTGGGTGTTAATCTTCAATTGATTAGCTTTTGGTGTCAACTTAAAGATGGCCGCCACGGCTAAAGTTTTAGATGTTCAGCTGATATTCAGAGTGGTAGTAGCTGAGAGTCATCCTCAACATTCATTATCTCAGAATACTGTGTGTGATCGTTCTTCACCTCATGGTCAAGTTTTTACAACAAACATCTTTTACAATCTTTACATCTTTTGTCAAGAGCTTGTCTTAATAAAACAGACAGAAACTCAGACTAAAAAATAAGCCTCCAAATGTCCTGAACGGTGAGCAGCAGAAGCTCTGATGGTTTATTTTGATTCGTGGAGGAAAAAGCGGCTTCACTTTCAGTTGTGAAGCTCACACACAACAGAAGTCAGCAGGAATTGTGTGTGTGACCTCTGGACTTTGTGGAGATCGGAGGGAAAACCTTCAGCAGTGACACACTGCGTGAAAAAAGAGACAAAAACTTCTACGTTTTGATGTTTGAACCACTGAAACTGATCTGAAGACAGCAGTTCAGTCACATGAAGTCCAACTTGTTGTGACCCGTTTGGACTCTGAGGATGAGGTCCGAGCTCGAGAACAGGACCAGTTCAAACCGCTCCATACGCCAAATCTTCTTGTTGGATTCTTCATGTGCTTTACCATACCATACCATACCATACCATACCATACCATTTCATTTATAGAGCACTTAAACCAGCGACAAGGCCAACCAAAGTGCTGTACAGACAGAACAACAGGTAACACACGAAGCAAAATACAAAATGAAGTAAATCAGAATATAGACATAAAAATGATGCAGATAATAAATATGATGACAAACCAGTGTGGAGCGTACTGGTTCAAAATACAGATCATCTGGTGTTGAAAGCTACTGAATAGTAGTGATTTTTAAACGGGGTTTGAAAACCGAGAGGGAGGGGGCCTGTCTGACAAGCAATGGTAACTCATTCCAAAGTCTTGGACCTGCTACAGAGAACCTCTGCGCGTAAGACGAGTTCCTGGAACTGTGAGGAGCAACTGGTCCGCTGACCTCAGGGAACATGGTGGGACATACGGTTGTAGCAGATCAGAGCGATGGGGGCGAAACTGTTCAGCGATTTGTAGACCTACAGGAGTATTTTGAACTGGATTCGAAGGTGAACCGGTAACCAGTGCAGTGAGGCCAAAACTGGTGTAATGTGCTCTCTTTTGACTGTACTGGTTAAAAATCGGGCTGCTGCATTCTGGACCAGTTGTAGTCGTGCAATGGAGGTCTGACTGATACTAAACAGGATTGAATTGCAGTAATCAAGCCTAGATGTAATGAATGCATGAATTACTGTCTCCAGGTTCTTTTTGGACAATATGGGCTTCAGTTTAGACAGCCGCCTCAGTTGGAAGAAACATGATTTAACAATCATGTTTACGTGATTGTTAAGTTTCAGGGAAGGGTCCATTATCACTCCCAGATTAGTGACTCTTTATTTTTCTGACAGTGGAAAGGTCAATGCAGTGGTTTGTGATCGTGTCGTTGGGAGGGAACAACATGACTTCAGACTTCTTTTCATTGAAACTTAAGAAGTTTAAAGCCATCCAGTCCCTGATGTCAGCCAGGCAGTCGAGCAGAGGTTGAATAGAGCATGTACCATTGTGTCTTAGGGGGAAGTAAATTTGACAGTCGTCGGCGTAGAAGTGGAAGAGTACGTGGTGTTTCCGGAAAATAGCACCAAGTGGCAGCAGGTATAAAGAGAATAAGAGAAATTTGGGTTGAGCAACTAAAATTCACAACACTGAAATCCTGTACAGTCCTGATCATTGCATTTTGCAAATTATCATGCAGGGGCGCCATCAAGGGGGAACCGGGGGGAGGGGGGGGGGGCAATGGGCACCCCCTAAAAACATGCACCCCCACCCCCTCATCTTTTTAAATCCCGAGCTTTTCCTTTTTTATTTCCTATAGTTATAAAGGATTAGTAGAACCTTTTAAACATAAAAACAAATAGTGTGCAGCAATTCTGGGCTAAAAATAAAATATAAAAATATGTTTATTTAAAATTAAAAATAAAACTTAAAATCTGGTCCCTCCCCCTGAATCAAGACAACTGCTCAAGCCACGTCCTCAACGTCAGGATGGGGCTCAGGAGGTTAGACGCCGAGTATTTTTTAAATAAATTTAGATTTAGGAGAGAGAGTTTAGAGAAGACGAGCTGACGATTGGGAGGTTGCAGGTTCGACTCCCGAAATCTGGGTGGGATCTGCTTCCACCCTCATTTGCTGCACTCTGGGTCCTTGAGCAAGGCTTTAAGGGCGATTATTCATAAACGCAATCATTTTTGCACAATACCGGCAGAAGAGTCTCTTTTTATGAGTTCTGTCCAAAATGACGGTTCGGTCTGGACCTCGCCAACGAGTGACGTCATCGTTCGGAGCTTCCGTTGTATTTTCTGAAAGCCTCAGAGATCGATGGGCTCATTGTTTACTGAGAAAAGCCTACCACAGGATGGGCAAGCAGCACCCCCTCCAAGAAACTGGGATGTGGTTTCGAGGCGACGGTGCAGCAGCTGCATCTGTGAAAGCAGCCGAAACAGGCGCCGAACGTTTATCAGGCAGATGCAGAGAAATATGAAAAAAAAACTAAAGGGCATCTCGAAAACATCATCCTCCGTCTGCTTTTAGAAAATAAATCTGACCCATATTCGTTTCACTGTTGAACTCCTGAAATGTTTAAACTGACATACAGGCGGACAAATGAAAACTAAAACTATTTCAAAACAAAACTAAAACTTAAAATATAAAAACTACTCACTTCCTGGTGCTGTGTTTAAAAGTCTGATTCACACGACAACGTGGCGTGGACTTTTGATGGAAACATGTTTATTAAAAAAGTAAATAATAGGTGCCACCTATTATTCTACACCTTGGAAGTGAGTCTACATTTCTATCCGTTAATGTGGCCCGAACAACAACATCTACCCCCACAAAAGTTATATCAAAACAACTGGCTCGGCCCCGTGATGTGTGCTATTACTTTTATTGGCATTTCAAGTTACCATGGCGAAGTAATTTGCGAACAAAGACGCAATATTTCACCAACTCCAGAAACTAGTTGGTGACTGCCCACTTATTATTCTACACCTAAAAAGCGTATCTTTTTCAACTTTAATGCAGCCCAAACCGCAAAGTGGACCCCTACAAAAGTTATATCCAAACGACCGGCTCGGCTCCGAGATGTGTGTTATTAATTTTATTGGCAATTGGTGTTACCATGGCGACATATTTTGCTAATGAAAATGACAAATTTCCCACAGGAAATGAATAGGAGAAAACTTTTCAAAGAAACTGAGTAACGTCGGGAGCCATTTTGATTCAACATGCATGGAAGGCACCTATGATCACCTATTATTATTATTATTATTAATTAGTAAAAAATAATTAACATAAATTATTAATGATTCATTTTAATAATTACAAATAATAACATCAATGATTATTAATATTAATAATTTATATTTAATATTACTTATTAATATAAATATTATTATAAACTATATTAATAGTTTATAATAATTAATAAATGAATATCATATTAATAATTAATTATTAATATAATTAAGTTTTAATAATATTTATTAATAATAATAATTTATTAATAAATAGGCAGTCCCCGTCAAAGTTTCTCCAGGAACTTTCTAGTTAAATGATAAAGCTCTGTACATGTTGTATAACACAATCATTGTTCCACATTTAATCTGTTGCATTGATGTTTGGGAGAAAGCGTGTAAAACATTTACAAAGCATATTTATATTTTACAGAAAAGAGCTGTAAGAATTATCACCAGAAAGCATTACTGTCACCCATCAAGCACATTATTTTATCAACTGAAGTTATTGAAGTTCCATGATTTGGTAGATTATAGTATTTTATCAGTTATGTATAGGGCTCAAAATAACACATTACCTTTAACTATCCAAAGAAATTTTGTTAAAAGACAAAGTTGGTATAATCTTAAGGGGATAGAAATATTTGTCAAACCAAAATTCAGAACTAGTCTGAAGGGAAGGTCTACCTCAATCCAAGGAGTTGGATTGTGGAATGTTCTAGAGAGTGATGTGAAAAATGCCAAGTCAATGTGCACATTTAAGAAAAAGATCAAAGCTGAATTGTTAAAAAATATATATATGAAGTAGCTTAGTGTGTTTTTGTATTAAAGTTAGAAAAATTAGAAAGAGTTATTCGTTTTGTTCTGTTACTTGAAGATTATTATTATTGAACTAATTGTTTGAAAAAAGGGGCAGATATAATAAGATTTTTTTTTCTTTCTGCTGCCTTTCATTTTAAATCTCTTGTATTTTTTTTATATGGTTTATGGAATTGTTTTTTTTTTTTTAATGAATAAACTTTATACCATACCATATCAAATATATTTTTTAAAGTATTAAAATTACAAAAACCAAAAATCCCACAAGTTTTGACATGCAAACAGCTAAAATAGGACAAAGTTATGTTGAAGAAGGTAGAAGTTAAATCAGTGAGATGCTGAGTCAGCATTTCAGTAAAAAAAATGGTGATAATTTATGTTAAATGTTCATATTTCTGAGCATTAATTAATTTGTTGTTTTCCAGGCGTGCATCCGCTGACCTGGGTCAACGTGAAGGTGGGGGACATGGTGGAGCTGCACTGTGGAAGCTGCGAACTCAACGACTCGGTGACGCTCTGGAGAAGGGAGAACGAGCCGACGGTGTTCCTGTACAGCAACATGTCGGCGGCGGAGCAGGACCAGCTGGGTGTGATCGTTCACCAGAACGTCCTGGTGATCCTGAGCACGTCTGAGAACCACGGTGGGAACTATTCCTGCACTCAGCTGGGGTACGGTCCAAATGTCTCCGAACTAACACCGTCAGTCCTCAGAGACAACGTCTCACTGTCCAAATGTCTCCGAACTAACACCGTCAGTCCTCAGAGACAACGTCTCACTGTCCAAATGTCTCTGAACTAACACGTCAGTCCTCAGAGACAACGTCTCACTGTCCAAATGTCTCTGAACTAACACCGTCAGTTCTCAGAGACAACGTCTCACTGTCCAAATGTCTCTGAACTAACACGTCAGTCCTCAGAGACAACGTCTCACTGTCCAAATGTCTCTGAACTAACACCGTCAGTCCTCAGAGACAACGTCTCACAGACGTTTCTGTTATTTTAATGTCACCCATATCCATCCATCATCTGGTTCTGGACTCAGGTCCTGAGGCATCAGCTGGATCAGAGAGGTCCAGACCTCTCTCTCCACAGCCAGCTCTTCTGGAGGACTCCAAGATGTTCCCAGACTAGCTGAAAGACAGAGTATCTCCAGCATGTCCTTGGTCTTCTCTGGGGTTTCCTCACAGTTGGACATGTCCAGAACACTTCCCTAAAGAGGCGTCCAGGGTCCATCCTTACCATATATCTGAACCACCTCAGCGGTCTCCTCTGGATGTGGAGGAGCAGCAGTTATACTCCCAGTCCGTCCTGGAGAGATGAACTTCTCACCCTATCTCTAAGGGAGAGGATCCAGGATCTGGTTCTTTCTGTCACTACCCAGAGTTCATGATCACAGGTGAGGGTAGGAATGTAGACTGACCAGTAAACAGAGAGCTTCTCCTTACAGCTCATCTCCCTCTTCACCACAACGTACTGGTCCAGAGTCCACAATACTGCAGAAGCTGCACCGATCCATCTGTAGATCTCACACTTGAACTCCTCCACTTCAGGCAGAACCTCAGCCTCAACCTGGAGAGGACAGACCACACTTTTACAACTGAGGACCATGACCTTGGATTTGCAGGTTCTCATCCCAGCTGTGAACTTCTCCAGTGAGAGCTGGAGATCACGGCACAATGACGCCAACAAGACCACATCATCTGCAAAGAGCAGAGACAGAATCCTGAGGTCACCAAACTGGACTCCCTCCACCCCCTGGCTGCACCAAGAAATTCTGTCCATGAAAGTTATGATCACAAAAAGCAGCCCTGGTGGAGTCCAACTCCCACCATAAAGAGGAGTTACATGTGACTGATCAGCCATAAATAACACCAGCACACTTGTCCTCCCTTCTTCAGGCATTTTATGCCCGCCTCCCCCTTCTTCATTTATTTCAGAGCTTTCCAAACTTCACCCTCACTAATCCTTCTCACTTCCTGGTCCAAAGTTTCTATGACCTCTACTCTTCTTTCGCTTTCATTGGGGACTGCCATGCAAATGCATGGCAGGCACCTATTATTCTACACCTCGGAAGTGAGTCTACATTTCTATCCGTTAATGCGGCCCGAACCACAACATCTACCCCCACAAAAGTTATATCAAAACGACTGGCTCGGCCCCGTGATGTGTGCTATTACTTTTATTGGCATTTCGAGTTACCATGGCAAAGTAATTTACGAACAAAGACGCAATATTTCACCAACTCCAGAAACTAGTTGGTGACTGCCCACTTATTATTCTACACCTGAAAAGCGTATCTTTTTCAACTTTAATGCAGCCCAAACCTCAAAGTGGACCCCCACAAAAGTTATATCCAAACGACCGGCCCGGCTCCGAGATGTGTGCTATTAATTTTATTGGCAATTGGCGTTACCATGGCAACATATTTTGCTAACGAAAATGACACATTTCCCATAGGAAATGAATAGGAGAAAACTTTTCAAAGAAACTGAGTAACGTCGGGAGCCATTTTGGTTCAACATGCATGGAAGGCACCTATGATCACCTATTATTATTATTATTATTAATTAGTAAAAAAAACAATTAACATAAATTATTAATGATTCATTTTAATAATGTCAAATAATAACATTAATGATTATTAATATTAATAATTTATATTTAATATTACTTATTAATATCAATATTATTATCAAATATATTAATAGTTTATAATAATTAATAAATGAATAACATATTAATAATTAATTATTATTATTATTATGTTTTAATAATATTTATTATTAATAATAATTTATTAATGAATAGGCAGTCCCTGTCAAAGTTTCTCCAGGAACTTTCTAGTTCTCTTTATTCATTAGCTCCTCAAAGTACTCCTTCCATATTCCCGTCACATTCTCCTCACTTGTTAGAACATTACAATTCCTATCTTTAACAAGCCTGACCTGATGCACATCCTTTCCAGCCTGATCCCTCTGTTTCGCCAATCGGTACAAGTCCTTCTCGCCCACTTTAGTGTCCAGCCTCCCATACACCTTCTGCTTTGCCTGTCCCTCTTTGATCTACATTGCATCTCCTTATATTCCTGTCTCCTCTCTTCTGTCCTCTCACTGTCATATTTCTTCTTGGCTAACCTCTTTCTCTGAATAGCTTCCTGCACTTCACTATTCCACCACCAGGTACTTGATGATTTCTTCCAGACTAAGCAAGATGTTTGAAAGAAACTCTTTAGAGTTTTTTCATTTTAACTTTTACATACATGCAGATTATTTTAAATGATCATACTCCGTCTGTTTGCATCTATACAGGAACACCAGCAACCAGTCATGGTTTCTCCTGAGAGTCTATTCAACTCAGTCCAAAGAGTACGACAAGAAGTACACGTACGACACGACCTGTTACACGCAAAAGGCCTGCACGTTGGTTTGTCCCACAGCGAACCGCCCTGAGGTAGATATCCCCAACCTTACGAGCACTGGGATTACATGGCACAAGGTACTAAAAACAACAGCGTGTGAGGTTTAAATCTGATTTCCCGACATGCGATTTTCAGTCACTAACTTGTGCTTCAGGAGAACGGCGAGCTGTCGGAGGGTTACTTCCCGAGCATCGAAGAGAAGAACAGCGGAGTCTACATCTGCACATGGTCCTACTTATATTCTGGTCAGACATATAACCGCTCATTTATAATGATCCTGGATGTCCTAACAGGTATGGAAACAAACACTTAATGTATGTCATTTTAATGTTTTCTCAGTTCCTCAGCAAGTTCATACTTTCAATGGAAAATAAATATTTTATCTGCTTAGAAAAACATGGGGCGAGTGGAATCTCTTCACCACAAGACGGTCAAGTTTTTCACGTAGAACTTGGTGAGTTTTTAATATTCAGCATGGGTTCACATTTAGAAAATGATTAAGAATGATCTGAAAACAACTCTGTATCCTATTATTTGGGAATCTAACCCTCCTGCTGCCCTTGGGTCAACGCGACCCAGAGGCCTGTTTTAAAACTGAGGCCTCGGGTCATTTTGACCCAAGAACAACTGGAGGTTAACTAGTAGAAATATTTTTTGGAATCCTAACTGGCCTAAAATAGGAAAGGTTTAGTCCAATTTACTAAAATGATTTTGTCCTTTTAAACTATTTTTCCATTTTAGATCTGTAAAATCAAAACACGTTCCTGTCCCCATTCAACTTCAATAATTTGGTGTGTTTCATTCAGGTCCATGACTTCACATCTAATTTAATGATACAGGCTGTACGGCACCAGATCAGAGGTGTAAATACTTCTGCAACCTGCTGTTTCATGGTGTGAATGTTAAATCACACCCGTTGTTCAGATCTGGTTTTCCTCCGTACGGTTTTCTGCTCGTAACTCGTTCCACAATTTCTGTTCCATTTCAACAGTTCATGTCTCAAAACGTTCAGCTCGTTCAGGACATTCCTGCCGTGACTTTTAGTTTTTGTGCAATTTTTACTTTTTGAAATATTTGGCTTTGTCAGCCATGTTTTCCTCATTGAAAATTAAAAAAGCTCTTTCCACGTCCTTCAACCTCTTTCAGCTGTTTACAGCATTCGACTGCTCATTTCAGCTTCTGTTTTAGTTCAGCTTCATTGTGATATTTTCAGCTTCCTTCAGTTTCTTTTTATGCTCATTTCAGCTTTTGCTGCTATTTTTCTGCAACTTTCAGCTTCTTTGTGTTGTCAGTTTTTTTTTTGCTAATATTTTTCTGATCATTTCAGCAGTTTTTAACTTATTCAGCTACCTTTTTTGTTGCTAATTTTAGCTTATTTTTTGCTCATTTCAGATTTTCTGTAATTTATTCAGCCTCACCCTGTCTATTGCAGCTTATTTTGCTAATTTATGCCACTTTTCTACTCTATTTAGCTTTTCTACACATTTCAGCTGACCCAACCCCCAACGTTCTGCTTTTATTTTCCTGCATCTTGACAAGGATCAGAATTTTGGATTTGGTAAAACAGCCAGACAACAAGAATGGTTAAAAGTTTGTTTTGCAGCTGCTGGTGGGAGTCAGATCCAGTTCGGGGACAAATCTGCAGAGAAACAACAGCTGTGAGTTTCTGGAGACTTGTTTGTAAACAGAGACACAGCCACCAACCTTCTCAGGCAGGTGAGGTGGGAGCCACCTGTCGGAGCTTGATGTGATGATGTCACCGTAACTGGTGGCGGAGCAGCTGCGGAGTAGCGCTGTGAACAACTTGAACAGTGGGACAATCCAGGGTCGTGGTCCGAAAGACGAAGCAGGGGTCAAGCACAGGGAGTCAGAGGTCCAAAAACAAATCCAGTGGGCAGTCTGTAATCCAGAATCCGTAGGCCAGAAAAAGTAGTCGTTATCAAGATCAGAAGGGCAGAACAAGATCAGATGGGGAGCAGGCAGAGCGGTAAATCCAGAAGACAGGCGTGGGGTCAAGACGAGAGAAACAAACAAGCTCATGAACGAAGCGCTGTAAAAGATTCGATCATCTGGCAGGGAACCTGAGTGAATGGAGCTCTTCTACAGAGCAGGTAACAGGTGCAGGGGATGAGTGAGTGGTCTGTGGGTGAAGAGTAGACGAGGCAGAACAACAGAGGCAGAAACATCCATCCTTTATCTTTTACCCGCTTCTTCCTTTTTGGGTCGCTGAGGTCGCCGTCATGTCCAGCAATCACTGTGTGAGAGGCGGGGGACACCCTGGACACGTCTCCAGTCCATCACAGGGACACACAGAGACAAACGAGACAGGGACAATTTAGAGTTACCAATCAGCCTAACATGCATGTTTTTGGTCTGTGGGAGGAAACCGGAGTGAGAAAACCCACACATGCACAGAGACAACACGCAAACTCCACACAGAAAGGCCCCCGGACCGGGATTTGAACCAGGGTAACCTTCTCACTGAGAGGCAGCAGCTCTACCAACTGCTCCACCGTGCTGCGCAGGCGGAAACATGACACAACGGTCAGCGTTTTAACGTGAACTCATCAACAGTCCAGCGATGAAATCTTTTCATCAGCTGTTTTCAGCTTATTTCAGCAAAAATCCTTCAGCATAAGCGTTCACGTTGAATGTCCACAGGAAATAATGATGTCTCTTGTTATTTTTGTGCTCATTTTCTTCAGACACGACGGTGGTGATCACTTGTAAAGCCGTCCCAGATTCATGCAGATTCAATTCCCTGTTCTGGCTGAGCGACGACCAGTTTGTTGAGGATGACCAGAGCTGCAGAGTCTTCAACAACTTCACCTGGTGAGAGCTGGGCTCGTGTTGGAGGCTCTATTCTTAACATGAGACTTTTCAAACAAACAACTTATACTTCTGTTTTTTCTGTCCTTTTCAGCAACGACACAAGCAAGGAGATGGCGGCATTTTTAGTCTTCAATAAAGTACAGGAGGAAGATTTGTCAAAAAATTTTACCTGTAAATTTGAAAGTGACCAGCGTACAGCCTTTACCACCATCACCTTGACTCAAATAGGTATTTAATTCAATTCAGTTTGTTTATATAGTTGGTTCACAACAACAGTCATGTCAGGGAACTATACAACAACAAAAAGTATCAAGACACTAAATTCAGAACAGAGAAAGATTACAGTTGATTATATTATAAGACAGTCGTTGTCTTGGACTCATCTGGGTCGCGGAGCGGCAGCTTTAGTAAGGAAGCCCAGTCTGTCCTCGCCAGACACTTCCACGTGTTCCTCTGGGTGAGAATCCAAAGTGTTTCCAGGCCCTTCAAGACATATAACCCCTCCAGCATGTCCTGGGTCACCCCCAGGGTCTCCTCCTGCAAGGACACACATTAAACACCTCAAGGAGACATCCAGGGGGCACCCTAACCACAAGTCTGAACCACCTCAGCTGGCTGCTTCTGAGCCCTGAATCTCTGCAGAGGAAGCTCATGTTTGCCCCGTTTCTGCTTTCGCCTTCTTACAGAAAGTGGCCAAAGCTCTTCTCTGTAGGTGAGGGTTGGAACGTAGACCGGCAGGTAAATCGAGAGTGTCACCTTTCAGCTTAGCGCCCTCTTTACCACAACTAATCGGCTGATCACCTCCATCACTGCTTACAATGCCCTGCTCCGTCTTAAAACACAAAAAAAATTGTGTTTTAAGAAAGTTAACAGATCGCCTCAAATCTTCAGTTTGTCACAATCCCCCATCCTGAGCAGCATGTCGGCGACAGTGGGAAGGAATGACTCCCTTTTGAAGAAACCTCCAGCAGAACCATAAACAGGCTCTGAACGAGCGGCCATGTGCCTCCACCAGCTGGGTTTAAAGAAGACAAGGAAGAGACACGGACAAGCAGGGAGTAGTCAGGTGTGGTTTCTATAGTTCAGGTTTAGTTTCTATAGTTCAGGTTTAGTTTCTATAGTCCAGGTTTAGTTTATATAGTTTAGGTTTAGTTTCTATAGTTCAGGTTTAGTTTATATAGTTCAGTTTAGCTGTAGGTTCTATAGATCAGGTGTAGGTTCTTTGGGAAGAAAGAAAACTGGTTAATAACAGCAAAAACTACAAAGTATTAGGTGAGTAAACACGACAGCAGATTGAGGAGTTTGGTCAATTTGTCCTTCGGCAGTCTAAGCCTAAAGCGGATAGCTCAGGAAACCCAAGCCAACCCGGATTTATAAACGTAAGCTTAATCTTAAAAGTAGACAAAGTGTCAGCCTCATGGACAGAAACAGGAAGTTGGTTCCACAAAAGAGGAGCCTGATAACTGAAAGCTCTGCCTCCCATTCTACTTTTAGAAACTCTAGGAACCACAAGTAAACCTGCAGTCTGAGAGTGACGTGCTCTGTTAATACAACATGGAACAATAAGATCTGTAATATAAGAAGGTTGTTGAGAGCTTTGTATGTTAGAAGATTTTGAATTATATTCTGAATGACAGGAAGACAATGGTGAGAAGCTAAAACTGATTTTAATCACGGATATATTTCCAGCAATTAATATTTTAGAACAGTTAGACAATAATAAGCTTTGAGTTGCTATCTATGCTTGAGCTATTCTGCTCAAGCTGCTGCCCCCACGACCCAAATTCGGAACAAGTGGAAGATGATGGATGGATGGATGGATGGATGGAGTTAATATTTAGTAGTTTTATTTTTCCTATGGTTTCCCTATAGCTCGTCCTTCGTACATCACCGTGGCTGCGTGCACTGTCATCATTGTGGCAGTGATGGCTGCAGCCGTCGTGATCTACATGAAGTTTAAAGTCGACATTGCCCTTTACTTCAGAGACACTCTTGGCTGCCGAAGCAGTAGCTCAGGTGAGACTGGAAACTCCTAAACTCTCATCTTTGCACTTTTACTCACTTTGTACTTCCACTGAATATATTTTTGTTTTAACAACAATTATTACTACGTTATGCTGCATTTCCCCTACAACATCAGAACGATCGAGTTGTGTGAACGCTGAGTCAGCATTCATACATTCCTATAGTTTCTTCTATGCCATATGTGTCAAAACTCAAGGCCCGGGGGCCAAATGTGGCCCTCGTTGACATCTTATCTGGCCCCCAAGATGATATTTGAAACGTAAAATATTTCTATCTCTTGAATTTTTTTCAGTAATCTTTGATTATGATGTGGAAAACACAAGAGAGAACATCAAATGAGACCAATCAAACACTTGTTGAGGAACCTGTGATTAAGAAAAGACGTTAGGTATCTGATTTGAGTTAATCTAGATTCTGAAATTGGCCCTTTATTTTGAAAAATGTTTTTATTTTGGCCCCCTTTTGTAAGTGAGTTTGACACCCTTGTCCTACGAAAACCTTGTCCACACACTTTGTGCTGTTTTAATCATTGATATAACAAAACATTCAGCACCATTAGGAATAGTGTTCAATGATGTTTAATATTTGTAATTATTATACTTTTTGAATTACTTAATTTTATTTATTTATTTTAATTAAAAGTACATTAAGATCTCTTCAGATCCTTCAAAAAATTGTTTTCATAAATGTCCTTTGGTGTATTTGCTCTGTTTTTGTTTATTTGCTCCATTTAGCTTGAAGCTACGACACTTTTTTAATTTTTTATTTTTTCGTTTGGCATCAGTTTTGCTCGTTAAAGTTTTTATGTTTTTATTACTTTTAACTGAAAAGTTCTCTTCTTTTACCACTTAGTAGCATTGTCTGTTCCTTTCAGCTTTTAGATGCACTTTAGCAATTTGTATCTGTTGTTGCTGGTTTTAGCATCTGTTTTGGTAATTTTAACATCTTTTGTGCTAATTTTAGCTTTGGTATCTTTCAAGTTCATTTTAGCTTTAGCTTTTGTTTGGCTATTTTTATGCACTGTTTGGCTTATTTGCATCCGTTTAGATACATTTTTGCTGCTTTATTTTAACATGTTTTAGTTTTAGCATCTGTTTTGCAAAGTTCGTTCAGCGTTTTGATAATTTTTGCATTTTTTATATTAATTTTACCTTTATCAAATGTTTTGCTAATTTTTATCAATTTAGTGCTAATTTTGGTTTTAGCATTGTTTTGCCATTTTTAGCTTCAGCATTTGTTTTTTGCTAATTTTAACAACTGTTTTTCTAAATACAGCATTTTTGTTGTTAATTTTACCAAATTTACTTACTATTTACTGTTTAACAACAGTTAGTTTTGTTTAATTGGACTTTAGTCTCTTTTTCTAATTTTACCATCTTTTATGCTAATTTTAACTTTAGCATGTGCTTAGCAACTTTTAACTCGTTTTGCTAATCTGAGCATCTGTTTTGCTAATTTTAGCTTTTGTTGATTTAGGTGTTTTAAGCTTTAGCAGAAAATACAGTTTCTCCAGGCGACTTTTGTTACATTTTCCCCAGACATCTTGTTTTGTGTTTACCGGGTAGCATTATGTGCTCAGCAAAATGATAATCTGTATTTGTTTGCGTGTCTAGATGGAAAAAGCTACGATGCGTTTTTGATGTGTTATAAGAGCGACGCAGATGGAGGACTGGATGAAGACGACCGAAGATGGTTGGAGAGAACTTTGGAGGAGCAATTTGGTTATAAGTTGTGTCTTTATGATCGAGATGTTATACCCGGCCAAGGTGAGTCCAAACAACAACAGCTGAGTAAAAGTCATTGAGATGAAGTTCATCCTGACCGCTTGTTTCCCTGCAGCCCAAGCAGAAGCGGTTTTGGACTCAGTAGGGCAGAGCCGGGCTGTGGTTTTAGTTCCCTGCTCTCCGGATCCTGGACCAGGAACCGCTCTGCTGAGCGCCATCCACGCAGCACTGGTGGAGAGGCGGACTCGCCTGGTTTTCATTGACACGGCGCAGACGGAGGGGTCCAGATCCAGCTCGTTAGCGGAGGCTCTGCAGCTTCTCAGTGAGGCCGGAGACTGCATCACCTGGAGGGGCAGGACACCTTCCTCCTCATCCTCTTTCTGGAAGCAGCTACGCTACCACCTTCCTGCTCCGCAGCGTGCACAAAAACAGATGTACCAGCTTTTACCATAAAGCTGCTACGATGCTGCTCTGTTGGACAACATCTTGAGTTCAGCGTCTTTTTTATTTTAAACTTCTTGTTTTGTCACATTATTTCATCAACTCTTGAAGCTGTTGGTTACTAATGTTACTGCATTAGGTGCAGCTGAAGTTATTGTGAACTGCACTGAAATATTTTATATTAAAATTGTGGATTAAAATCAAACCAAATGTGACATTGACTACTGGAGTCAAGTCTGTCTGTTAGCAAAATATCTCACCAGTCACTGGGCTGGTTTTATCAAAACTCTCAGGAAGGAACCATTTGATGTACATGATGGAGTCCATCCACTCCTAGATGAATGCTACAGCTTATCAAACGTAGCTAACACAAAAATGGATACACCTGCCAGTTTTACAGATATTAAGCTAAAGTTTGATGTGGAAGTAGCTGAGTCGTCCCCAACACATACTCTGAACACAAACAGTTCATATTAGATTGCGTGAGACTGATATTATTGTGAGTCCACAATACTGCAGAAGCTGCACCGATCAGTCTGAAGATCTCTCGCTCCATTCTTCTCTCACTGAGAACAAAACCAGAGATACCTGAACTCCTGCAATGGAGGCAGAAACTCACTCCCAGCATGGAGAGGACAGTCCACCCTTTTCTGACTGAGGACTGTGACCTCAGGTTTGTAAGTTCTGATCCTCAGCCCAGCTGTGAACCGCTCCAGTGAGGCCTACAGATGCAAACAGAAGAAGCAGAATCCTGAGGCCACTGAACCAGACTCCATTCTCCCCCTGACTGTACCGATAAATTCTGTCCATAAAAGTTATGAACAGAATCGGTGACAACGAGCGGAGTCCAACTCCCACCCTGAAGAGGTCCGACCTACTGCCGGCCATGAGAATCAAACCCTCGCACCGTTCATCGGAGCAGACAGAATTAGAGCTGCACACGTTCAGAAGATGACAGATGATGGTCTGATAATGAAACATGAGCAGAAAAGCTGCAGTTCTGATGGTATCTGAACACTGGTTTCTGCCTCGCGCCTGAGCATGTTGCCAGAGCACCGATTCAAACATTAACTTTCAGTTTAGTGGTTTTATTTTTCCAAAGACAGACATGAAGTAATTTTACTGTAAAATGGTTTTAGATGCTATTAAAATGAGATGATACCTGCACTGAATATCTGCAGTTATGGGACAAAGAATATCCACCCTCTTTTAGTTTAAAGGTTTTACGACAAACATTTAAAGTGTGTGTTCCAGCCTTTCTGCTCTGGAGCATATGCGTGTGTTAACACAATGCCAAGATGGAAATCCATCAGCAATAACCTCAGAGAAGTAGCTGCCCATCAATCTGGGAAGGATCAAAGGCCATTTGGAGTCCTGTGTTCTACAGAGAGAACGATTATTCACAAGTGGAATTCATTTCAAACAGCTGACCGTCTTCCCAGCAGATTCACCCTGAAGGTCAGACTGTGCAGTGACTCTACAGGCCTCAGTCAGCAGGTCAAAGGTCATAGCCTCCTCTCTCTCAAAACAACATGGCAGCTCGACTTAGGTTTGGAAAGTTTCATCTGAAAGAACCACAAGCCTTCTGGACCAGTACCAGACCAGAGGGCAGATGTTTACCCAGAATGCACAGCAGCAAACAGCTCCTCCCAGCTGTCAGCACAGTGGTGGAGGGCAGATGGTTCGGGCTCCTGTCAGTGGCCAAGGAACTCCTCTGTAGACCAAAGGGTTCTATGTAAAACAGATGAAGCCATGGAGGGATGAAGCAGCTGTGGATCTACAGACTCGGGCATTCACTGCTGCCACTGTGGTGTGGTAGTAACTGAGATTCATCTCCGTCACATATTCTGAGCTCTTAACAGGTCGCGCTTTTAGATTTTTGTTTAAGACGGCAGCGTTCAATATGAAATCCTCACTAGTTCAATTTTGGGTGCACGTTTAAACTCATGGAAGGTTCCTGACGATCCAGACTTCATGTCTTAAGGCTGAAAAGAAAAACTCAACCCTTCTAAGAAAAGATGAACACAAAGGAAGTGACTAACAAAAGTTGGTTCCATTGAAATTACGTTCAAACTCAAGCAAACAGGAAACCCTGCGATGCAGCACGCTGTAAGATCTCCATGTCCTGTGAAAATGATCTACCGCAAGATTCACAGCTAGAGAGAGAACCTGCAAACGATGGAGGGGAAGCAAACAGCAGCAGGGGCGCGCCAATCAATATCAGCCGATTGATTTTCTGTATCGACAGCATCGACCAGCTGAAGAGCTGAAGACGGAGCATGCAAGCTGGAGTCGCGCTGCTTTATTTTATCTTTCCAGTCATCTCAGAAAGCTGCTGCATGAAAAACCGTCATAGGAAACCAGCAGGTAGTTCATTTGATTCTCACAGACACATTTGAAACGAAGCTTCACTTCTCATGAAACACGATTCAGCTCAGAGCGACGTTGTGTGTGTCTGCACATCTTTAATACGCAAATGAAGAAATGGTAAAAACATTGTTTGTTTTACAAAGAAATGCGAAAATAGTGCAGAGACGATTAATCTTTGCATTACAGTCATGTTTCAAACGAAGTGTTTGACTTTAATTAGTATCTAAGGAGCCTTCGAGTTTTCTGTCAGCCTGTTTAAACGGACCAGGGTGGTTTGGTTCACCATGATCATGGAGGATGAAGAATTCAGGGAGAAGATTAAAGATATTCATGTTCATCTACATCATATGTGTTCAACTCAAGGCCCGGGGGCCAAATGTGGCCTTCAATGACATCTTATCTGGCCCCCATAATGTTATTTTAAATGTAAAATACTTTTAATCACTTAAATATTTTCAGTAATCTTTGATTAAGATGTCAAAAGTGCAACAGAGAACGTCAAATGAGACCAATCAAACTCTTGTTGAGGAACCTGCAACCAAGAAAAGATGTCGAGTATCTAATTTGAGTTCATGTAGATTCTGAAACCGGCCCTCAGTTTGAAAAAGGTTTTAATTTTGGCCCCCTTTTGTATGTGGGTTTGACACCCCCTGATGTAGAGAAAAAGTCAGCCGTGTAATTATTTTTGTTCCTGTTTTTGTTGTTTTATTTGTGTTGTCAATAAACACGACCGCTTCTAACAAAATTAATCTTAAAAATACTTCAAATTGTTTTTAACTTTGTCAGAAATGTTTCAAATGCTCCACACTCACTTTACTGAAACCACCTTTACTGAAATCCATTACAGTATAAATGCATTTTTTTAATCACATATTTATCATCTGTGGCAAAACAAGGCCTTATTGACAGATCGACAGGAGTAAAGTTTTAGAAAACAATAGTAGTTTATAGTTTTATGCCAACACTGGGCTAACTGGGCAAGACTTGTGTGGGGATGGGGGGTGGTTGTGGAGGGTCTTCTAAAATCTTCAAAACTGGAACTTTTGAGGAAAAAAACTATTTGGGGATCAAAAATAAATTATCTGTTTTGTTTTCCTTAATCACCATAAATTGTTGACTTATTTAAAAAAACATGAATTGTGGAGTTTTGCACAATTAAAGGCCCATAAATACTAACATTTACAAATAAGTCATTTAAATGTGATATTTTTTTATTTCAGGCTGAAATAGCTTTAAAAGGTTGAACAAGGTGTGATGGACAAAATATGATCTTTTTTGCAACATATTAATAAACGGTATTTCAGCAGTTATAATGTGGTTGATAACAAACACCCCCCCCCCCCCCCCCCGAGGAACCTTATAGTCATAAAGTTAAAGGACAGTTTGAGGGTTAAAGGTTAAATCTGCTCACACAGACTCATGTTCGTGCTGCTGTTCGATGTATTGTTTTCATGCTACAGTGCTTAGCATATTTTTAGTTAACGTTTTTCTTAGTTCATATCTTAGATCTTTTTACTGTTTTCCTTTTATATTTTAATACTTTTGTTGGATGTAACTGGGACCCTGTGTACACAATTTCGTTCCACCACATGTACCACATATGGTGTGTATGACCAATAAAGAACCTTGAAATCTACCATGTCCAAGCAGCTTCATGCTTCTGTGACCACAGGTACAAGATTCAAGGGACTGCTGCCAACCTTCCAGGACGTGGACGCAAGAGGAAATGCGACCCGAGGTTGCAGCGTGCAGGAAATCATTATGTCTTCCCTTCACCTTTGGGTCACAAACGCAAACAAAATAAAAATAACATAAAACTCGTGTGTAGGTGCTCGGCAGAGGAAGCACTACCGAGCTGTGGAGGGGGAGAGCTTCATGATGCCGTGCAGGAAATCTGGTGACAAACTCACCAAGTGGTTCAAGACAGACGAAGGCAAAGAGGGAAAGGAGAGTTCATCCATTGACTGTAAAAGAAAGTTTATTGCAGAAATGAAACATTCTGGAATCTACAACAACACCGGGTAAAAAAAACATATTTGTTTAGAACATTAAAGATTTTTATCACAGTACTTTATATCAAAATAAAGTTAATAAATTGTTTTATTGCAATCTGATTTTAAATCTTCTTCTTCTTTTGGCTTTTCCATCTTCATGGGTCGCCACAGCGAGTCATCCTCCTCCACCTCACTCTGTCCTCTGCATCCTCTGTCCTCACTCCAACTACCTCCATGTCCTCTCTAACTGCATCCATATATCTACTCTTTGTCTTTTTCCTGGCAGCTGCATTTCTAACATCCCTCTACCAATATACCCACTGTCCCTCCTCTGGACATGTCCAACCCATCTCAGTCTGGCCTCCCTAACTTTATCTCCCAGTTGTTCAACCTGTGCTGTACCTCTGATGATCTCATTCCTAATCTTATCCAGCCTTGTTACACCTAAGGAGAACCTCAACATCTTCATTTCTGTCACTTCCAGTTCTTTCTCCTGTCTTTTTGTCAAAGCCACTGTATCTGCAATCTGATTTTAAATACATTCACTTTTTTTGTCTAAATTATGTAATTTGTTGAATATTTGTACTTTTGTCTGCAGCATACTTCTGACTCTGCAGGTTGTGGAGAAAATGAGCCTGAGCTGCTTTCAGCCGAAGGAGAGCAGTGTAACGCTGCGAGCGCACGCCGGCGGGCGGATCAGCTGCCCCGGCCTCGCCTGTAGCAGCAACACAAGAGTCATTTGGTACAAGGTGAGATTCATGCGGGTGCAAAACGATGCGTGGGTCCAACCTATGCGAGGTTCTCACGTCACGTGGTTTCTTCCAGGAAAACAAAGCTGTATCTGAACAGCAGAGGTCCTCCTGTGAGGAGGGGGGGCTGCTGCAGCTCTGTACCGTCTATCCAGAAGACTTTGGTTTGTTTTTCTGCAACAGACAAATAAATGAAGGAGGGGTCACATGGACCTTCAGGAGGCCCGTTAACGTCACAGTCGTACGTAAGTGCTGTTTGTAGAAGAAAGTCTGGTTCTTTGAACGTCACTTCTGTGCAGTGAAGGCTAGAATAGTTCTGACCTGCAGGACCTCCCAGGCTTCACTCTCTGTTACATTTGTTACAACATGGCAACCAGTGTGAGTTACTCTGCAGTCTCCATCCAGATTCAGATAAGTTCAGATAAGACCATGTTCCCTGAGACATTCTGTAGGAGGTGCTGCAGGAATAAAGGGTGCCCCTGGGTTGCTTTCAAGAGCTATCTGGTCCCTGCAGAACCAAAGCAGGAGCTATGTTCCACATTCTTGGCACAATGTCAAACTCATCTTTGGTAAAGGTTGGACTCCTCAAGATCTGCACCTTATCTTTGATCCTGTTTGTGGTCTTCATGGACAGGATCTCAAGGTCCAGTCGAGGCCCAGAGGAGGGTGTCTGGTTCTGGAAACTCAGGGTCTGCTCTCTGCTTTATGCAGATGATGTGGTTCTGTTGACATCCATGACCATGGTTCTCAACAGGAAACTGGTGGAACGGCCCCTCTGGGTCAGCTGGAGGACTTCAAAAGCATCTTGTTCCTGAGTGATGGTACGATGGAGCAGGAGATGGATCCACGGATCCGGGCCTCCTCCTCACTGTTGCTTTGGTCAGTCATGGTTAATAAAGAGCCGAGTCTAAAGACAAAGCTCTGGATTTACTGGTCTACGTTCTCTCACCTGTGGTCCTGAGGTTTGGATCAGGACTGAAAGAACCAGATCCTAGATCAGGGTTATTCAACTGGCGGCCCATGGGCCAACTTCAATCTGGCCCACCAATGACTTCAAAAATTTATTTATTTATTTTGGGAAAGGGGAGGCGTTCTGGGTTTGGGTTCTGTTTATTACATTTATGATCCAATACAATAAAATAAACAAATTTAAAATGTAACTGATCGTTGTAAAACTTGGTTTATTTACATAATGACTGTAACTGCTGGATGTCCGGCCCCTGAGCTGCTGGATTTCAGAAACCGTGCCCCCTTGAGCCGTTTAGTTGAATAGCCTAGATCCAGGTGGCTGAAATGGTTTTAGGGGGGTGGGGGCTCAGCCTCAGAGATAGGAGGAGGCACTCCGTCATCAGGGGGAAGCTCAGAGTAAAGCTGCTGCTCCTCTGCATCAAAAGGAGTCAGTTGAGGAGGTTCCTCTGAACAGGACGCCTCCCTTTGGGCACCTCTCACTGTGAAGAGACCCAGGACTCTCTGGAGGGATTATAGATCCTTTTTGGTCTGGGAACACCTTGGGGTCCACCCGGGAGGAGTTGGAGGGTGTCTCTGGTTTTAGGGAGGTCTGGGTTTCTCTCCTGGACCTGCTGCCTCTGCAACTCGACAACAGTGGTAGAAGACGGAAACTGAAGTTTCCTTTAATGATTGAAAAGAAACCTGAAGTGTGTTAAACCAAATCAAATTTCCAAAATTCAGTTTCAGTTTGGCTAATACTTCAATCTGACAGCTCATAAAATGAATCATTCAACCTCAAGGTGTTTAACTCGTATGTTTTATTTCTGATGAGCTGAAAATAAGAGTTAAAAAATGACTAATCCTAAATGAATATCAGAAGTCTTTCATTACAAACATTATTCACATCCTATTTACTGCTGGATGATTTATTTTCCATTAAATGAAGAAACTTTAGCTGCTAATCAAAAAGAAAGCCGTTATACAGAAACTCATCCATTGAATGTAAAGAGACTTTTATTGGATTGGAGGATAAACCACAATAAAGATTAACAAGAGAATGTGTTTACAGGTGTACTCAACCGCTAAACTGGTTCACGTTTTTCTGAAAAACCCCAAATCCCTGAGTTCCCTCTCCAACAACCAGCATATTTTATTATTTATTATTAACCTTTTTTTAACCAGGCAAATCTCATTGTGATCACAGATCTCGTTTGTAAAGGAGGCCTGGACCTGAAGGCAGACTAACATGCATGTTTTTGGTCTGTGGGAGGAATCCGGAGTACCCGGAGAAAACCCACCCAAGCACGAGAAGAACATGCAAACTCCACACAGAAAGACCCCAGGTCCAATCGGAGATTGAACCCAAGACCTTGTTGCTGTGAGGTAACAGTGCTAACCACTGATCCATCGTGCTGTCAGCCATGGCAACCTCGGCGGAGTCAAACTCTCACTGGGAATGAGCCTGACTTACTGCCGGCAATGCGGACCAAGCTCTGACAGCAGTCATACAGGGACAAACAGCCCGTATCAAAGGGCCTGGTACTCCATACTACCAGAGTACCCCCCACAGGGTTCCCCAGGTTGAACGCCTTCTCCAAGTCCACAAAGCACATGTAGACTGGTTGGGCAAACTCCCACGCACCCTCCAGAACCCTGCTGAGGTGTAAAGCTGGTCCAGTGTTCCACAACCAGGACGAAAACTGCACTGCTCCTCCTGAATCTGAGGTTCGACTCTCTAATGGACCCTCCTCTCCAGAACCCCTGAATAGACCTTACCAGGAGGCTTAAGAGCATGATCCCCCTGTAGTTGGAACACACTCTATGGTTCCACTTTTTGAATAGGGGGACCACCACCCCAGTCTGCCAATCCAGAGGGAACTGCCCCCAATGTCCAAGCAATATTGCAGAGTCATGTAAGCCAACACAACCCCACAACATCCAGAGCCTTAAGGAACTCCGGGCTAATCTCATCCACCCCTGGGGCCCTGCCACCGAGGAGCTTTTTAACCACCTCAGTGACCTCAGCACCAGAGATTGGAGAGCCCGACCCAAAGTCCCCAGGCTCTGCTTCCTCAGTGTTAGATGTGCTGGTGGGAAAATGAAGTCCAATAGATAAAATCAGAAACATCACAACAAACAGGGCTTCTGCCTGCATGGGCGCGAGGTGGGCAATAAAATAATGTGCACGACCTAGAACACAGTGAAAACTCATTTTGATCGCTGGTATCCAAGACCAATTATTTCAGTCACTAATATGGATGAATAGTGTTTGTAATCTTCTGTCGGTTAAATTCTCATCATTTCTCAAACAGCACATCTTGAAGTAACAACGCCTCCAGAGATTATGTATCCTTTTGTGAACGAAACCGAGGAAGTCAAGCTTGGTAAGTGCTTCAAAACAGCTAAGGGTTTGATAATTAAATGTAATTGTCATTCAGAAAGTCTCAGATTACTGTTATACGAGTTGTTTTACCCTTATGGGTTCTGATTAGGCTCTCAAAATGTGTTATGGTGAAAACTGGTTGCAGTTTTGTAAATTTAACCAAGACTGTATACTTTAATTTATACTTTTAATGATCTGCTTTCATTCACTGGTTTTGTTAAATCACATTTTGCTTCTTGTTCCAGGTCAGTCTCACACCCTTACTTGTAAGGCGTATTTTGATTTTGAAATAAACGTTTCACGAAAGGTGCAGTGGTTCATGAATTATGGCGGCAACGTGAAGAACAAAACTCTACTGCACACGGAAAGTCCTCAGTGAGTTGGTACAAGTGTGTGTGTCGCAGAAAATACAGGTTTGTTTTGAAGAGCAAATAAAATCTTATTTGTTTTCCAGAGAAAATCCAGTGTTCTATAAAAAGACTGAGGTCATACAGAGAGCCACCCTAAGAGAAGTGACAGCTCAGCATTTAAACCACACCTACACCTGCGTCGCAGGTAACACCGTCGGAAACAGCAGCGTCACAATTCGACTGAAACTGAAAAAACAAGGTAACTTTAATTTTTTCATTTCAAATTTTAAAGTCTATTTCACAGATGGAGCTAAAATTCAGCATGGTAGTAGCTGAGAGTCATCCCTAACACATGCTCTAAGCACTAAAAGTTCATTTGAGGTGGTTATCTTCAAAGTTTAACTAAACAGCTGTAACATTCCTCAACATAAGATAGCTTAAAACTGAAGGTGGAGGGTGATATGCATTACTTTAGGGGTGCTAAGCCAATATTTAATATTTTAAATGTACCATTATTACGTTAATACCATAAAAACACCACAATAACACCATTCTTAAAACTGTAGATTTTCATCCAAACCAAACTGTTTCTAGAACTTCGAGGCCTGATTTGATGTTCAGTGAATTTTCAACCCAGTTTTTCTGTTTCGTTTTAAAAAGTTCACACTGTTGTCATTTTCAATAAATGAATAAAAGCTCTGCTGATAATTTATTTCTGCGGTGAAGAGATAAAATCTGTGTTTTGGGTTTGTTTTCAGTAACGTGGCCTTCCCTCATCGGGTATCCCTTTGCGTGCTTCCTGCTGGTAGCCGGACTGGGAATCATCTTTCACATGAAATGGTTGGAAATCCAGATAATCTGCAGATCTCGCCTCCAGTTTGGAGAAAATAACAGCGGTTAGAATATAATTCAAACTAAACAGTTTACTGCTTTCCTGCCCGCAGCTGCCGTGACCTCAGAGATAAAGATCGAGCACAAAAATGTTTCAAACGAGCAGCTCATCTGCCGGATCAGTTGTGTTTTTATCTCTGGAGGTCACGAAGAACGGCTCTTTGCATGAAAGTCACAGCAGCGCTGGTAGACTGATGTCTTTCATATTCTCTCGTCTGCCAGAAGAAAAAGACTTTGACGTGTTTCTGTCACATGTGTGGAGCCCTCAACCTGCACACAGAGCTGAAGATCTGAACTTTACCTCCACATCAGGACTTTACAGTGAAGCAGGTTTGGCTCTACACGCTTTTGATTTACAGACTAAATAAAACGCTGCAATGCTGTGTTAAATGTAAATAAAACAATTTGTAAATCATATTTTATTCATGATGAAATGGATATATGTCAAATGTTGAAACTTAAAAAAAGAACCGTTTTTAGGAAATGAAGGTCATTTTCAATTTGATGGCAGCAACACATCTGTTTGAAGTTGTTCCAGGTCCAGTTTCCATCAGTGAAGGACTCACTCTTCCTTTAACAAGTCGGTAAAGGTACAGGACCTGAGGAGACCAGTTGTTGGAGGTTTTGGAGGACCTGAGGAGACCAGTTGTTGGAGGTTTTGGAGGACCTGAGAAGACCAGTTGTTGGAGGTTTTGGAGGACATGAGGAGACCAGTTGTTGGAGGTTTTGTAGGGCCCAAGGAGACCAGGAGTTGGTGGTCTTGGTGGACCTGAGGATTCTAACTGTCCTTCAGTCCTGGATTTTCTCTGCTGGATGGGAGCAGATGTTCTAAAACTTGTAGATATGTTTCTGCATTGATGGAGGCTTTCCAGATGTGTAAGTTGCCTGTGCCAGATGCACTAATGTACCCCTATATCATCAGAGAGGCAGGGGTTTGAACTTTAAGCTGACAACAGGCTGGATGTTTCCTCTCCTCTTTCGTACAGAGGACCTGGTGTGTTCAGTTTCCAAACAGAAATTCAGATTTGGACCAGTCTGACCTCTGAACAGTTCTGGACTTCACTTCAGTCTATTTGAAATGAGCTCTGGTCCAGAGAAGATGGCAGAGGTTATGGATGGTGTTCTGTGAACAGAACCAGGCCTGGTTTTAATGCAGTGGCTCCTGAGGGTCTTGTCCTTTGAGCTCAGATTTCTACAAATTCGTCTAATCTGAGAATCAGATTAATAACTGGAGATTATGGAGATTAAAGTATTTCATTCAGGAACTTTATTCTGAAATTGTCCCTCTAGTTTTAGACAAGAGTGCTGAACCTCTGCCCATCTTCACTTCAGGCAGATTCCACCTCCCTAAAAGTCTCTTAATACTCAGTCCTCTTACCGACTTGTTGATAATTAAGATCATTAGTTACAAAACTTTCCTGTGGCTGTTTTTTAGTCATACCTCTTACTTTCAACACATTTTGTTGTTTTTAGACAGTCTTTTTTTTTTACATGTGTTGTTGCCTTCATGTTAAAAAATTACATTATTTTTCCAAATTAAAAATTGTTCAATTTCTTACTTTCAACATTTGATGTTTACCATGTCCCATTGTGAATAGAAATTTGGGTTTATGAGGTTTCCAAACAATAGCATTCTGTTTTCATTTACATTTTAATGTCTCAACTTGTTCAGAATTGAAGCTGTTTCAAAAACTATTTTGAAAAATGATCGGTTTTCTTTTTTTTTTGGCAGCATGTCTTTCTGTTAGAGAGACATTAAATTCTGCAGAGACTGCTCAGAGTCCAATAGAAGTGCTGCTCGCCCAGGTGTTGGAGGACCAGTGGGGGTACAGAGTCTGTCTGCTGGAGCGAGATATACTTCCTGGAGGAGGTGAGAGATTCACCTGTGTTTAAACATGTGTTACCCACAATGATTCCCTAAAGGTTTAACTTTTGTTTTTATTCTTTTTGCATCACAGCTTATACAAACGATGTGGTTCTGGCTCTAAAGAGAAGTCAAATGCTCATCTGTGTCCTGTCGGCTGAATATCTCACCGACAGTAATGCTGTGTTCATACTGGAATCAGGAGTAAAGGTATAGTAGGTTTGTCAAGAAGGATATCAAATTTTTCAATCTGAGGTTCAAGTACCACCAGGGGTAGCAGGAATCCCTGCAGTGGTTGTCAAAAGAATGTTTGATATCAACTACTATAAGTTAAATAGCAAATTAACCATCATAGGTTGAACCATGATGTAAAGACAGAAAAGCAGAAAGTGCCAAGAAGACGAGTGGTTCAAAGAAATTATATTAGAAACTACTTGAAGTAAAAGTACGATGGAGAATACTTCTTGTGAACCTCTGTGGAAACTGAAGTGGACAATGGTGAACTGATGGGCTAGAGGCTACTTAAGCAGAACCAAAGGAATTTAAATGGGACCCATTTGCAACAAAAAGTGCAAAAGCGTTCCTTCCAAATTTGTATTCAGCTACGGGACAGAAAAGTCCACACAACCCTTAAAGAAAAAAACAAAACAAGAATACTGCCATTGATCCATTCCACGACTGTTAGTACCCCGCCTCCATCTCGGCCTCTTTGACCACATCTCAATCTTCATAGCCCCTGTCCACCTCCCCGCGCTGAGACGTTCCAGACCAACACAGAAGACCATCACTGTATGGTCCAACAACAGCGACTCTGCTGGACTGTTTTGCATGAACAGACCGGCAGATCTTCAGGGAGACTGCTGTAAATGAGTGCTGGATCTGGAGGATTACACATCTGCTGTCCTCTGATACATCAGCAAGTGTGTTGATGATCTCACCACCACCAGGACTGTGAAGTGCTACCCAAACCAGAAACCCTGGCTGAATGCAGAAGTCCATGCCCTGCTGAAAGTCAGGGATACTGCCTTCGGGCCTGGCAACTCACAGGAACTGGGGAGGACAAGGAAAGAGCTGGCTGTGGTATAAAGAGGGCCAAAGCAACATATGCACAGAAGATCCAGGATCATTTCTCCCCACAGGACCCAAGGAGCATGTGAAGGGGCATTAAGTGCATAACAGACTATAAAAGCAGGGGTACACAATGCCCTATAGGGGCCCATAGCTGCCTGATGCTCTTAACAGGTTCTATGCCCACTTTAAAGACGCAAATAGACCACCCAGCACCAGATTCACCTCACCACCAGATGAGGAGTTCCTCATCGTGACCACAGCAGAAGTAAGGAGGACCTTCAGGAGGATTAATCCTCACAAAGCAACTGGCCCAGACAACATACTGGGGAGGGTACTGAAAGACTGTGCCAATCAGCTCTGCGAGGTGCATGTCAACATCTTTAACTCCTCCCTCACCCTGGCAACTGTTCCCAACTGCTTGAAGACTGTCACCATCATCCCAGTTCCTAAGAGCTCTGCAGTGACTGGTCTGAATGACTACCGGCCAGTAGCCCTTACCCTGATAGTCGCTAAATGCTTTGGAAAAACTGGTCATGGCCCACATCAAAGCTACCATCGACATCAGGGAGGACCCACACCAGTATGCATACTGCAAGAATCTATCAACAGATGATGCCATCTCCTCTGTGGTTCACACTGCTCTCACCCACCTGGAGCAGAAGGACTCCTATGTCTGTATTATCTTTGTGGACTTTACATCTGCCTTCAACACCATGATAACCCAGACCCTGTGGACAAACTACTTACACTAGGACTAAGCCCCTCCATATGCAACTGGTTCCTGGACTTCTTAACCAATAGACCGCAGTCAGTGAGGATCCACAACTTCTTCTCCTCCTCCACCATAACCCTCAGCACTGGCTCCCCTCAGGGCTGTGTGTTGAGCCCTCTCCTGTTCATTCTGCTCACATATGACTATGCACCTTCCCATCCAGGTTGTCATGTTGTAAAGATTGCAGACGATACAGCAATGGTTGGATGCATCACAAACAACGATGAGTCCAGCTACAGGTAGAACACCTTGAGAGCTGGTGCAGGAAGAACAACCTTCACATTAATATGAAGAAGACAATTAAAGGATATGGTCGTGGATTTCAGACGTAGCAAACAAACCTACCCTCATATGAATATAGGAGGATATGCAGTGGAAGTAGTCTCCACAAGTACTTGATGTGCACCTGAATGATGATCTCAGCTGGGGAAGCAACACTACCAGCCTGATCAAGAAAGCACATCAGAGACTCTACTTCCTCAGGCAGATGAGACGGGCTGGACTGGAAAGTTCAGTCCTCACCTCCTTCTACAGGTGTGCAGTGAAGAGCATCCTGTGCTCCAGCATCAATGTGTGGCATGGAGGCTGCACAGCTGCAGAAAAGAAAGCTCTGCAGAGAGTGGTGAAGGCTGCACAGAAGACTGTTGGAGTCAGCCTCCCCACCATCACAGACATCTACACCTCCAGATGCAGGAAAAGAACCACCTGCATCATGAAGGACCCCACTCACCCAGCATACACACTTTTTGCCCCACTCCCCTCAGGCAGGAGGTTGAGGAGCATTAAGTGTAGAACCACTAGACTGAGGAACAGCTTCTACCCTGAAGTGGTTAAGACTCATAAATCCCTAACCAGGATAATCACAGAGTTTACTGAGGAGGTACTCGTTATTAAAAGTTAATGTTATTAAAAGACGTCACCAATGCACATCAGTAGTAGTACATGGAAAGTCTAGTTTACAGAGGAAGTACTCGTTATTAAAAGTTTAATATACGCAGGTCTCTCTTGAAAATGAGTTATCGTGGCTCAATGAGACTACCTGTATAAATAAAGGGTAAGTGAAAAAATAAAATAACGTCACTTGGTGTGAAAAATAATCTAGAGAGCGTATTATATTTCATTTTTCAGTAACTCTCAGTAGTAGGATGCAAATTTGTAGTAGAGGATTAATGAATGACCAAATAAAATAAAAAGCTTAAATGAAGATTTAAACTTAAAATAAAATTCTGAGTTTAAATATGTCAAAATCCCAAATCCAGCTTTGATTAGTCTTCTGAGATTATGCCTTTTTACCTCTAAAAATTTATGTTTAAAGACTAAGCACAAATTATTTAATAGTTATATGAGGTGAACAAGAAAAAAAGACGTAAAAAATGGCCTTTTGATACAGTAGCTTCTACATTTAATGCCCTAGTATCTCACTGAGACCTGAAAATGGCAATCATTCGATGCAAACTTTGTCATTTCCTTTACAGTTAGTGTTTTCCACCAGTTTTAAGTAAACTAAACACTTCAATACAAAAAAAAAAAAAAACAGTTGTCTCTGATGTGAAGTTCCAAGTTGCACACATCCTGAAAGACATCCATTTGGTTTCATTTTGTTGTTTTGACATAAACTGAAACCGCAAGCTGCGTGGGGACCTTTGGTTTGAAGGGAAGTCCAAACTCACCACAAATCCCCAGAGCAGCTTCTTGTAAAATTATTTTAACACAATTTTTATTTTTATTCATTTTTAGGCTTTACTGCACAAATCTCTCTTCAAACTCCTGCTAATATGGACCGGTGGAACTTCACGTTCCCTCGTCCAGCCGGACCCACCACTGCCCAAACTGGTCCAAAGGACCCTAAAGGTGCTACCCAGCCTGAACTGGACCTCAGACTCATCTTCCACATCAACCTGTACGTTCTGGACTTCTTTAAGGAAAGTCATGCCCAACCACAGAGAAATGACGGTTTCACACACGTGAAGATCGGAAACATTTTCCCATCGAGACATTTGCTGTAGGAGGACAAAAACGCATCTTATTTAAATAAACTACTGAAACCAAATAGATCTGAGTGTGTGTGGTGGTGGTGGTGGGGGGGGGGGGGGGGGGGGGGGGTGTATTTCCATGTTGTTTCAAATTTTGAAAAGCATGTCTCACTTTTCATGTCAGTTTAATAAAACCGAGTCCCTGTCAACACGAGTTTAACCCTCCTGCTGTCCTTGGGTCAAAATGAACCTGGAGGACCGTTTTACAAAAACAAACATCAAATAAAGTCGTCTTACATCCATGCCAGAAATAAACACATTTGACTGTTTTTACCTGAATATTCAGGAGAAATGTTTGATAAAATTAAAAGGTTGCAGCCACAGATGTTGAGTTGTTTTTTTGTTTTAATTTGGGGAGCTACAACAAGGAAAACAGAGAAATTAAAAAAAGGTTATACTTCGAATGACAGGGATTTTATGAATGGATTACTTTTACCTGAAATCAATTATGACGATATAGATGCAACAGAAAGAACTCGCATAAGTACCCAAATATTGTGATAAAACTACGGTAATGTTATCAACTAAATGGTACACACATCTTGGTGAGTTAATTCAGGTTTTCAAATGGACAAAATTATTTTATCACATTTCTTTTGGTAGAGAAAGAAGTGAGTTGTGAAAGCCAAAATCCTAATATTTACCCTAAAATACAACACGAAAAACCAAACAAAAGTCTCAAAGGTGGTACAGCTGATGAAAAATAATTGTACATGGGTGCTAAAAAACTAAAAACAAAAAAAATTAATGTGTTTACACATTTTACTCTGGAAAAACGCACAGCCACGGTTACACAACACTCAAACTCACACTCCCGTTTGTGGATTTAAAAAGAAAATATTGTCACTATGTACAATTTTACACAAGTATCAGACAAAAATCTATTCAGGATCATACTTCATCAGGTTTAAGGGGAAAGAATTTCACACACACAAAAAAAAAAAAGGCATAAAAGCCTATTTAAATCTTTTACAAAGCCAACAGAAAGCAACCGATGTAAGAATTTAAAATAATATTCTGGTAAATGTTTCGTCTCTACGTCGCTGGAACAGTTAAGGCAGTATCTCGCTGAGCGAAGACTGTTGGAGACTCGCTAGTGACTCAAGACTGTGAGAAAATGAACAAACATTTGTTTCAGCCTCGCGGACTTTTGTGAGACCAACGAGCAGCGCAGCCACATTCTGAGCAGCCAAATTTTAACAAGAGTACCACATACGGCACATTATACGTCCGTCAACAAACTATTATACAACAATCTATATCAACGGCCCCGACAAGCAAAGACCTTGTATAAACTCTGACCTTGATTTGCGCCCTTGACCTTGGAGCTGGCGAGATGCCACACTCCATCTGATGATGGTACAATCGTGTATCAAGTTTCATTAAATTATCTTGAGAAGATCAGAAGTTAAGGCCCAGACAAGACCTTGCATAACATTTGTCCTCGACTTGTACCTTGACCCTAGAGCTGGGGTGATAAAAAGTGTACAGGACACTCCATCTAGTGAAGATACATGTGTGTGAACTTCTGTTAAAATTAACTCGAGCGGATCAGAAGTTTTGGGCAGAACACGAGAAAGTCAGAGACTACATCATAATTTGCCTTAACAGGCAGATAATAAAAACCAGGGCCAGTTTTTAACCCTGGCCAGTGGCCAGCACCGCTTGGGCCATGCACCTTTGTTGTCCACTTCCATCTGCCTCAGCACGGTTTGTACCAAACTCAGCAGCCGCCCACCACCTACATTTAATTAATCTAGTGGGGGTACACTTTAGAAATTAGGCTAGCTCAATGGTGTCCAATCCTGGTCCTGGAGGGCCACCATCCTGCATGTTTAAGCAGTTTTCCTGCTCTTCAAGTTCTGCAGAAACCTGTTAATTCACATCAAGTGTGTTAAAGCAGAGGGACATGTAAAACAGTGGTCCTCAAGCCTGGTCCTGGAGAGCCACTGCCCTGCATGTTTTACATGCTTCTCTGCTCCAACACAGCCGACTCAATGGTTGAATTACCTCTTCGTGTTCTGCAGAAGAACATTAATCGCCCATTAAATCGTGTGTTAAAAAAGAGGGACTTCTAAAACATTTAGTGGCCCTCCCAAGACCAGGATGAGGACAACTCTTCTAAAACATGCAGGATGGTGCCCCCAGGACCACGTTTGGCCACCACTTTTTGTAGCCTTGAATGTGTCGTCATAAGAAAAGCTTTTGTGAATAAGAGCTGGACAGTGATATTTTAAATATTTGAAGTTGAATAAAAATTGACAAATTGAAATACAGTACTGAGACTGTCAAGTTTTTTACACCACCTCCTGGTAGCGACACACCAAGTTGTGTACTAACAGCACAACTCTTTAAAAAAAAAGACAGACAGCATAAGACAAGTTGAACTGAGCCTCCCAGCATATTCTTCTGCCACCATCTTTAATTTTTAAAGAATTATAAAATGTAAACTTTTGGCAGGGGTGAGCTCAGCTTTACTGTCAGATTATAGCCACCACCGCCTCGTTGGACCGGTGAAACTGAAGGAACCTAAAGATCTCTGGTTAGCAGAAGTCTCTGTAACCAGAGCCTCTTCATTTTAAATAACTTGTGCTGTAATTATGTGTGCGAGTAAAACACGCGTTGTGAGAAGCATAAATCCCTTGGACAAGATAGATGGAGGCTGGCATTCATTATCTATCTATCTATATATCTATATATATATCTATATATATATATATAGATATATATATAAACTTTACAAATTCAATGAGTGTTTTTGATTCAAATATCCACACCAATTTGTGAAGGTGTTAAAATGCAATCATAATGCTAATGTAAAGTTACGGAAACTAAATTGAGACAGATTTGAGTCACTTGCAACAACTCAAGACAATAAAGAGGAAGTTTGTCACATTTTTTTGAACATGTTCACAATTCAAGCAACTTTTCTGCTGAATGACTTTCATATTTGTCACAACGGTCTTCATTTGATAACAGCTTATTCTCTTTTGTCTTCGATCAGTCACAGTTTAGTTTTAGCCAAACCCTCCCAAAGTTTGCTCACGTTTCTCGCTCTTTCGAAGTAGCAGAAACCAAACTGAGGTTTGGAGACGCCCGCGACAGATCCGAGTCTCAATACCTCAAGCAAAAACATTGAAAACGACAGAAAACGTTTTGAGACATTTTGGAGACTCCCTCCAGAACGCTGTTCACAAACTAACGTCCAAGAGTCCCAGCCCAGTGAGATACTGGCTGTAGAGTCAACCAGTGGAGCTCAGAAGAGGAAATACAACCTCAGTCTTAACCAGAGACGACTGAAAAGATTATTTTATGAGTGACATTCAAAAAGCTGACAAGTTGCTTAAAAAAAGGCAACAATAAGAAAAAAAAATTGTGCTTTCACAGATAACAGACACGGTTAAACTGTACAAAAATCTGATTAGTGACAAAACTTAGTTGTGATTTATGAGTTTTCAGGCTGGGTCTTCATTTTTCTCTCCCAGAGTTTCTGATTATCAGAAAAGCCCTGCTTGCCCTTGTTGAAGGAATTAGGTCCAGCAGATGTTGGAGTCTCCCTAAAAATAAGAAAAACATCTTTATTTTTTTCAATTTCAACTTAAATAACCAGAAATGAGGTGAGCCACTGAAAAAACATCCAGAACAGTTTGTTTTCAGAGCAGCACCAATGGAGGACTCAAACGGTTTACCTGCCGACGTTCTTCATCCTCATCTTTGCTTCTGGAGGCATCTCTTCTGGTTCACTCTGTTGTAGCAAAAGCCAGCTAAAGTCAGTTTCTGTGCAGCTGTCGTTTTTCTTGTACGATGGTGATAAAGCTGTGTGATGTGTGAACTTACATCATCATCTTCGTCAAAAACAGACGCCACCCCGAGCTTTTTTGGAGGAGCTGATGGTACAGGCTCTTTGGGTTTCTAGAAAAAAAATAAAAATCGGGCAGAAACAGAAAAACAGTAAAATAATGCAGGAAGCAACGCAGCATCTATTCAACAACTTTGTTATTTATACTCCTTCTGTTAAGGCCTTTTGGACACACAGTCTTTACTAGACATAAATGGACACTCACTGATGCTCCTAGTTTGATGGAGATGGGGTTTGATTTCGTCGTCATCTTGCTGCTCATGCTAAAGCCGATTTTGGAGGCTTTGGAGGGCGCGGGTTGGTCAGAGGACTCGTCTTCATCCTCAGGGGTGAGGAGCTGAGATGTGCGTTTGACAGGGACCCCCTTTCCTCCCACAGTGCTACAAGACACAGGCTTAGTTTTCACTCTGTCTCCCTCCTCCTGCGGCCCTGCTTGAAGCAAGACAACTCACCGAGGTGAACAACTGCATTCTGGGAACTGGGTTAAAAGCGGTTATTTTACCTGTGTGACTAGCTTAGCCATCAACAAACCAAAGGTAACCTAAACTCCCCTCTGTGGCTTGCCTTGCTTTAAAGTTCAACCTGTGAATCCTAAGTATCCACAGTGACACTATTTCACTTAGTGATGCTCAAACTGGAGTGTCTCACCCTTTTTTCAGTCATGAAAACATTGCAGGTGAAACTAATGTTTGATTTTGAATGTTTCCACGTTGTGTTACACTAAAAAAAACAAACCCTGGATAATAAGAAACTACAACAGAGAGAGATTTAAAGAAATATATGACATGGATTAAAAGAAAAACAGGCAATGCTTCAAATTCACAGAATACAGAGGGTGGAAGTAACACTGAACAATCTCCAGAATATAAAAAAAAAAAAGAAGACTACGGATACCTTCCTCTTTGATGAAAGGAAGAGATAAGATCTGACAACATAAAACTAAAAAAATTAAAAAGACACCGTGACACATTACTCCAGCACATGAATAAACCTCTCCAGTTATTTTGGCAAGCTGAAAAGGTAAACAAACAATACAACAAACCACCTATACTGTGACAGAATTAGGTAATTACTAAAAGGCTCAATATTTATTGAAAATACTCGCACCCCATTTATTTTTAGTACTGATTGCACTAAAGTGTTGAGTCATTAATCCTATATCTATTGTATTTGCATATGTGTGGTTGAAAGTGCACATTAAACAATAAAGTCAGTCATAAAAGGCCTTCTTATTTCTATCTGAATAAGCAAATACCAAAGGAGCAGTCTTGTGGTTTTAAATTATTTAGTTAAACGTGAGTTTCCTGTTGTTTAAAAGAAAATATGCCTTTCTTATTTGTTTTCTGTTCATATAAAAATTTAACTATTTTAATTTAAGTGAAGGCCTGGAGCTGCTTCTACCCTCCAGAGGGAGGCGTGATGGCAGAAAAACAAAAGTCTGAAATCCTCTAGCTCTGAACGGCTAACTAGCCTCGGCTAGCTACTTGCGCACTAGCTAGCAAGTAAGCAAGCTAACAAGAGACTTTATACGTTTTCAGGAAATAAAGCAAGTAAGCATTTATCTGCATCGTTACATGATTAACGCCTAAAGACTCACTTTAGTTCATTGCAATGTGAGTAGCGTTAAAACAACGTTATTCATTAGCACGCTAAAGCTAACGTGGTTAAATTGTTGGGAGTTCAACGACCGACTCCCCTTAGGTAAGGGTCTGTTTTGACAGTGCTTAAAGCAGAGCTAGTGACAAACAGTTTGGGTTTATTTCTAAGTTTTAAGATATTTAAACCGCACAAGTATCACCTCCATCGTCGGAGAAACTTCTCCTGCTTTGCTTGTTATCCGCCATGATCTCGCCTGTACTTCACAGTTGGCGCCGCTAAGCTTGTCCGAGATGAAAAGCAAACCGATTACAAGCGTAGAAGAAGAAAAAAGGAAGACGACGAAGAAGAAAAAGCAAAATGACAGCAAGCTAACCGGTTGGAAGAAAAAAAGCTGGTAATACTCGAGGCTTAATAGAACCTGTTTAAGTGTTTAGGTACTCATTATATTAAGGAATTAGTTAAAAGAATTAAAATTTTAATTGTCTTACCATTCATTTGATCGCCTTTAAGTTCCAAATGTGTTGGGTACCGCTCGGTGATGTGACGTGCTAAGCTAATGTTACAGTACTTTAGCTTGACATTATTTAATTCCTCAGTGTTCAAAAGCAATGAAAGTACTAAAATAACAAGTTATGAGTTTGACTTTTTTAATAACATTTTAAGTGGGCCATTATTTGGCAGTTGGACTTTTTGATATGTTTAGTTTTTATACACCTATCATTTAAAACAAGGTTTCCTACCTACTTCGATGGTTCCTAAACTTTTTATCTTTCGGCTTACAGAGTAACAATATGTGGCCGTAACTACTAACTACTGCTTGATGATTTGTTATTTACGATTAAAGAAATCAGGTTATCGTTGTTATCCACTGTTGTCATCACTCTTTGTTAAAGAATTGGGTCTCTCTTGTAAAAGAGTCCCCGAGGCTCAATGGAATTAACCTGTATAAATAAAGGTTGAATGAGTTAAACTAGCTACGCTAACAAACATTTCACAAGAGGTTTATGTTTTAAACCAATTATTTCATTTGATAGAGATTTGAAATAGTCATTTAAATGTTACTAAAGTCATGTACAGGTGCATCTAAAAATAGAATATTGTGAAAACTTTCAATATTTTTTTCAGCGTTTTAAAAAAGTGAAACTCATGTTATAAAGATTCTTTACACATACAGTGAATTATTTAGATAAGAATATTTATATTTCTTTAATAATATATATTTTTATATAATAACATAAACAGGGGAATTAAGTTGATGAGTGAAGATCTGGGCAAGAGTTGTGGAAGCCAGATTTAGAAGAAAGGTGACCATTTGTGAGCAGCAGTATGGTTTCATGCCAAGAAAGAGCACCACAGATGCTGTCTTTGCATTGAGGATGCTGATGGAGAAGTACAGAGAGGGTCAGAAAGAACTCCATTGTGTCTTTGTGGATTTAGAAAAAGCATATGGCAGAGTGTTGAGGGAGGAGGTGTGGTATTACATGAGTAAATCTGGAGTGGCAGAGAAGTATGTTAGACTGGTACAGGACATGTATGAGGACAGCAGGATAGTGGTGAGATGTGTTGTAGGAGTGACGGATAGCTTCAATGTGGAGGTGGGATTGCATCAAGGATCGGCTCTGAGCCCCATGTTGTTTGCTCTGGTGATGGACTGACTAACAGATGAGGTCAGGCAGGCATCTCCGTGGATTATGATGTTTGCAGATGACATTGTGACCTGTGGTGAGAACAGGGAACAGGTGGAAGAGAACTTGGAGAGGTGGAGATGTGCACTTGAAAGAAGAGGAATGAAAGTCAGCCGTAGTAAGACAGAGTACATGTGTGTGAACGAGAGGGAGGCCGGTGGAACAGAGAGGCTACAAGGAGCAGAGGTCACAAAGGTGCAGGACTTCAAGTACTTGTGGTCCACTGTCCAGGAAAATGGAGAGTGTGGTAAAGAGGTGACGAAGAGAGTCCAGGCAGGATGGAGTGGATGGAGAAAAGTTTCAGGAGTGATTTGTAACAAAAGGATGTCAACACAGGTCAAAGGAAAAGTTTACAAGACAGTTGTGAGACCCATCTGTTTTGTATGGTCTGGAGACATGGACAAAAAGACAGGAGGCAGAACTGGAAGTGGCAGAAATGAAAATGTTGAGGTTCTCCTTAGGAGTGACAAGGATGGAGAAGATTAGGAATGAGATCATCAGATGTACAGCACAGGTTGAACAACTGGGAGATAAAGTTAGAGAGGCCAGACAGATGGTTTGGACATGTCCAGAGGAGGGACAGTGGGTATATTGGTAGAAAGATGTTAGAAATGCATCTGCCAGGAAAAAGACGAAGAGGAGATGGACGCAGTTAGAGAGGACATGGAGGTAGTTGGAGTCACGACAGAGTGAGATGGAGGAGGATGACTTGTTGTGGCGACCTCTGAAGAGGAAAAAGCTGAAAGAACAAAAGACACAGAATGAAATATTTCAAGACTTTATTTCTTGTAATTTTGATGATTATGGCTTACAAATAATGAAAAAAACAATATTCAACGTCTAATAAGATTAAAATTTTGTGAATAGGTTCAGTTTAGTAAACTCCTGGTTGGTGTTTCACAATAATGAGCTGATTAACATAAGTCCTAGATGTGAGCTACAAATGTCTCATTTCTCAAGTTCAGCCACTCTTGAACCAGAGACGTCGTCAGAAGAGTCTTACCTGGACTGAGGAGACAAAGAACTGGACTGTTGCTCAGTGGTCCGAAGTTCTCTTTTCAGATATAAGATTTGTCAATCAAGGTCCCAGAGTCTGGAGGAAGAGTGAAGAGGTCCAGAATCCACGTTGCTTGAAGTCCAGAGTGAAGTTTCCACAGTCAGTGATGGTTTGGGGTCATGTCCTCAGCTGGTGTTGGTCCACTGTGTTTTCTGAAGTCCACAGTCCATGCAGCATCTACAAGAACATTTTAGAGACTTCATGCTTTTTTCTGCTGACGAGCTTTATGGAGATGATGATTTCATTTTCCAGCAGGACTCAGTACCAGCCCACACAGCTAAATGTACCAAAAGCTGGCTGTGGAATATTCTAACTTTCTGAGACAATGAATTTTGGTTTTTCATTATTTGTAAACCATAATCATCAAAATTACAAGAAACAAAGACTTGAAATATTTCACATATTGGCTTTATGTATTTGTAGAGATTGTCAGTAAACTTTTATCAAATGTCCTTTGATGAACTGAAAATGTTTGAGTTTGTTTCTACAGAAAATGTTGTGATTACCATTTCAGATAAAACTATGTGCTGACAATCAAACTGGTTGATTTTGGGGGATGTTGAAGTTATACACCTAGTGAAGTGTAAAAACATCAAAATTAATTAAACAACATAATGACAATTATGCAAGTTTTACTCTTTATAAATACTTTTTTGTCCCTCAGTTGCAGCTATATTGTTGATTTAATTTTATTTTTTTAACTTTATTGCTAGAAAGCATTTCAAGACCCTTTTTTTCTGTGTTTCACGACCCACAGTGGGGTTCTGACTAGAGGATGACACAGGAGTGGATTTTCACTCCTGTCCTGTCCTGGTCCCACAGAAAAAATCCTGTCCTGTCCCACTCCTGGTAACATGACTCCTGCTCCTGTTCAGAATCACTCCCACTCCTGTCCTGCTCCTGTTTTTCATTTAATTTTTAGGAAATACATTGAATTTGATTTGGTCTTCTACCCATTCCTGTTTAAATTACTTTGTGTTGTGCAGTTTTATTTCAAAAGATATGGCAACAGGAACAGTTCATCTGTGGTGAAACAGAGACATTTATTTCCTTAATCCAAAGTCAGGACTCTTGACTTCAACTTTGGGAACCAGTTTCAGTCTGAAGGTATTGTTTGGTTTCAGGCAGGCCTTTAACAGCAGATGAGCGACCATGAGGAGTACACAGATCACGCAGAAGAAACTTGATACCTCCTCACAACAAGAAGTCCAGACTCACCTGTCCACCTTTGTTTCAGGGACAAGGGACACCGTTTAGAGGACTCTTTTTGGATAGAGAAGACTGATCAGAAACTAAACCATGCATTAAAAAAAAAAAAAATCAGATCAAGACTGCATCCTGAAACGAGACGGATTTGTGTTTGTTGAGTAGCTTTAGCTCATTACAGAAAAATGCTTGTGAATATTTGTTTTAGATTCAAAAGATCTGTAAACAAATGAGACCAAAGTCCAAAGAAAAACGTTTAAAGACGTGTAGGAAACCCAGAGAACTTCCTTAAAAACGATCACCAGAAAGTTTGGCTGCTATATTAGGTGGTTTAAAAGTTTTGCACAGTACTGTTTATGTTTGATCACTTTATTTTTTTTATTACAGGTCTTTTTTTTTATTTTTTAGATTTAGGTTAAACAATGTACCAGTCAAGATGGGACAGGCCTTGTGTATTTGCTCCCGTGGCTCCATCACCATTGATAACAAAAAATATTACTTTGTCCAGAAACTGGATGAAGGGTAAGTTCAAATGATTTTACACTTATTTATTTATTTATTTATTATATCTCTACTGTTAAAGTATAAAAATATGTCTCTGTTTAAAAGCCTCAAGAAGCGCAGGCTTTGTTAGATCTCGTGCTGATTTGAGTCTCTTGAAGGTATTTTACACAAAACCCCAAAAGGAATGTTGTCATGTTTATCTTTTAAACTTAAACGAGTAGAAATGCATAAAACAACCTTGTGCTTAGCGGGTACATACCTCATGGGGTAAAACATAGTGCTTACAGTGGATACCCTGTAAGTACTATGTTTTAGACCTGATGCTTAGCAGGTACATGGTGGGTATTTGGCAGGTTGCGTACCAGGTATTCTCAGGATGTGCATTAGGTATGTACAAGCTACTTAGCAGATACGGGGTACTAGGAGGGTACATACCAGATTTTTACTGAGTACCTAAGAGGACTGGGTTACATTAAAAATGAATTTATTACCTTAACTACAAAGTACTTAGCAGGTGCATAGGGGTATTTATGAGCTATGTACCAGGTACTTACAAGGTACATACAGAGACTGGGTCTTTGTATGAAGTGACTTGTTACCTTGTTCTTACAGGGTACTTAGCAGGTAAGTGTGGCGTACTTAGTGGGTACCTTCATAGTACTTAGCAAGTAAGTAGCAGGTACCTACAGGAAGTAGACTGTTTTATGAAGTGACTTGTAAGTACCAGTACATACCCAGTACTTACCAATTACATACTTAATGTTGTATCTTCCTCTGGACTCTGTTCTCTTGGCGATGTCTTCCCAGCGGGTTCAGCTTTGTCGATCTGGTCGAGGGAGCAAAGGACGGGCACTTCTACGCCCTGAAAAAGATCTTGTGTCACGACCGGCAGGCCCGTCAGGAGGCGCAGACTGAGGTGGAGATGCATCAGTCGTTCAGTCATCCCAACATCTTGAGCCTGGTTTCTTACGCCTTCGTCGAGAGCGGAGGGAAGACTGAAGCCTGGTTACTGCTGCCTTTCGTCAGAGTGAGTTGTTGCAGTAGTTCCTACGTGGAGACTTTTCTTTCAGGAACTAGTCCGATAATGTTTGTGTCGTTGAGCAGAAAGGAACTCTGTGGTCCGTTTTGGAGAAGCTGAGGGACAAGGGGAGCTTGATGCCCGAGAATCAGATTTTACAAATATTCCGCGGAATCTGCTCTGGTTTGAAGGCTATTCATGACAAAGGCTACGCCCACAGGTAAAACCTCACCGCTCTTACAAACATGCAGCTCATATTTGTACTTCTTTTGGTTTTTCCCTCTTCAGGGGTCTCCACAGCGAGTCCTCCTCCATCTCACTCTGTCCTCACTCCAACTACCTCCATGTCTTCTCTAACTGAATCTAGATATCTCCTGTGTCTGTTTCCTGGCAGCTGCATTTCTAACATCCTTCTATCAATATACCCACTGTCCCTCCTCTGGACATGTCCAAACCACTGTCCCTCCTCTGGACATGTCCAAACCATCTCAGTCTGGTCTCTGTCACTCTATCTCCAGTTGTTCAACATGTGCTGTACCTCTGATGATCTCTGATCAGCTCATTTCTCAGCTCGTCTTTGTACATCTGAATGAAAATTTATATTTTTGCTTTGAAGCTGCAGTTAATTCAGAAAGAAAAACAAACGGCGTGCTCGTATTACCAACGAGAGAAAAGAAATGCCTCTCCACCTCTACATCTTCTACTGCTTATCTGTGATTGGGTCATGGAGGCAGCAGGTCCAGGAGAGAAACCTAGACCTCACTCTCCTTAGAGACCCTCTCCAGATCCTCCTGGGAACCTGAGGTGTTCTCAGACCAGAGGCCATATATAATCCCTTCAGGGAGTTCTGGGTCTGACCCAGGGTCTCCTCACAGTGGGAGGTGCCTGGAAAAGACCTAAAGGGAGGCATCCTGATCAGATGAACCTCCTCAACCAACTCCTTTCAATGCAGAGCAGCGGCTCTATTGCGAACTCCCCTCCGGATGACAGAGCTCCTCCTACTATCTCTGAGGCTGGGCAGCCCCACCCTACAATGGAAGACCATTTCAGCCGCTTGAATCCAGGATCTGGTTCTTTCAGTTCCGATCCAAACCTCATGACCACAGGTGAGGGCTCAAACGTAGACGGACCAGTGAATCCAGAAATTTGCCTTTAGACTCAGCTCTTTCTTCACCACGTCCAACCAAAGCAACGCCCTCATTACTGAGGAGGCGGCCCTGATCCGTGGATCCACCTTCTGCTCCAGATTAAAACCCAGTTGGAGCGCATAGGAATTTTTTGTGCAACGTGAGTCAGTCAGTGAAAGAAAAAGTTCAGATACCTAAAATCCAGTAATAAAATATAAAAAACAAATACTGCACACAACTTTTATTTTTCATACAAATCCTTATTTATATTTTGGTTACTCTCCTTTAGTGGTCATAATGTTATGGTTGATCAATGTGTAAAATCACGTTTTGAGTGTTATGGTTAACTTTTTGTGGCCTACACCCAACTCAGTTAAATTAGTTGTGATTTAACAGAGACTTGAAACCCACCAACGTGCTCCTGGACGAGGACGACAAGCCGGTTCTGATGGATCTGGGCTCGATGAACCGCGCAAGAATCGAGGTAAGGGTACCGAGCCCGTATAAAGTCAGTCATAACTTACATTAAAAATTAACATTAAAAAACAAAAACATCAACACTGTTGGTAAAACAGCAAACCCTCTTTATACCATCTAAAGACTCAGGTCTTCCTCACCTCTAAATGTTACTTTAAGCTCTTCCTCATCTTCACTGGGAATGTTAAAAATATATAATTGTGCTGTAAGTTGCTAAGTAGTTGTTTGCATGAAGCACAATAAATATTTAGAGTTACAGTAAAGAAGGCATCTTAAATAATAAAAAAGAAGCAGCTTTCTGATGAGGCGGGCTGATAAAAACTCTTGCTTTAATCTTTTTCTCCTCGTCCGTCTGGTTTGCTGCCCCTAGATGGCAGAGCAACATTTGATGTCCAGAGCGTCTGATTAAACAAACATTTATTAAAGGCAGGCAGAATTAACGCACAATAAAATGCAACTTTGCTTCATGTTTATTTAATTTTGTTTGTCTTTAAATGTGTTTAACATAATCTGGTTGTTGTTGGAGCCACCAGGTCCAATAATTTAGTCCCGTTTGGTTTAAAACGAGGGCGAAAACAAACGGTTAGATAAACGAGAAGTTAGGCGCCATTTTGATTGATAAAATGTTCTTTCAGCATCACTGAGTTGGAATCTAAACAAGTTAAATCTGGTCCTCTGGACATTCAAAAAACAAAACAAATGAATGTCCAGAGGACCAGATTGAACTTGTTTAGATTTTTCTACCTGGATTATTGAGCATGCATCAGGAAATACTGAGTTGGAAATACTCTGTCCGTCTGTCTGTCTGTACGTTGTGAGCATGAACACTTGAAAACTAAGTGAGGTACCAGGTATCTGCTGTAGGTGTAAGAAAGGTTCCTATAGAAAGACTGGGTTGCCAGATCAACATCTAGTTCAGAAAAACGCTCCTCTCCAAAACTGCCAACTTTCAAATGAACTCCCTCAGCGACGGGGGCGTCGGCTTGTTTGTTCTGGTGTCGCTCACTCTCAGGATGGTGCTAAAACTGAATGTGTCGCAGGTCAAAGGGTCCAGGGAAGCCATGACGGTCCAGGACTGGGCATCCCAGCGCTGCACCATCTCCTACAGAGCTCCTGAGCTCTTCAACGTGGAGAGCCACTGCATCATAGACGAGCGCACCGACATCTGGGTATGAAACCTTTCAACGTCGGCTCCTCTTGTCCTCTTTTACTCTGATACTTGTGATGAGTGAGAAGAACGGTTCTGTTGGTGTGTGGTTCTGTCCCGCAGTCTCTCGGCTGCGTTCTGTACTGCATGATGATGCTGGAGGGGCCGTACGACCTGATCTTCCAGAAGGGGGACAGCGTTGCCTTGGCCGTCCAGAATCCAGTGTCCATTCCTCCGTCCTGCAGGTCAGGATTCAAACCGACGTCGTTTCTCTTTATTCATCGCTTCTGTCCCAACGTTCTGTTTGGTCCTGGAAGAAACAACAGGGTTGTTGTTGTTTACTTCCTCTAGGAAAAATAAACAGAATAATTGTTTCCTGGTTTTTATTTTCTGTTTATCTTTTTAACAATTAAATACTGTTCATAGATCAAAACATCCTGATGCATGCTCTGGTCCAGATTTAACTTTTTTAGACATAGATCAAAACGTTCGGCTCATTCAGGCGACGGGTGCTGTGGCTTTGGTTTTTTTCTGTTTTGTTTTTTTTTTTGCACTTTTCAAAACAACTTTATTTACAAATGTTTCCCCATCGAAACAGATCTGTTCAGTTGTTTCATAAACTTTTTCTTTGAAATCTACTGAAGTTAATGGCTCTATTCTACCTTTAGCTTTTACCTTCCAGTTAGCTACTTTTAGCTTCTAGTTAGTCTTCCAATACTTAGCTAAATTTGAGCTACTTTTAACTTTTGGCTACCATTTTTCTACTTTGGCTTTTAGCCTGTCTTTTGGTAATAATTAGCTTTTTATTACTTAAGCTGATGTTTTGCTACTTTTCATTTTTAGCTACCCGTTTGCTACTTTAGCTTTTAACCAGCCTTTTGCTAATATTATTTTCTGGTTAGCCATTTGATACATTTAGCTAACCTTTAGCAACGTTTTGTTTGTATTTGGCTACTTGTAGCTTCTAACTTCCATTTTGCTACTTTTGCTTTTAGCCATCTTGTACTAATATTAGCTCTTAGATTGAGCATGAACTCTTTAGCCTTTTGATACCTTTCTGCTAACATTTTGCAACTTTTAAAATTTTTGTTGCTTTAGCTTCTAGCTAGCTACGTTTAACTGTTAGCCAGCCTTTTGCTATGTTTTTCTTTAGCTGTTAGCTCCTCCCAGAAAACGTTTAATAGTGAGTTCTGGCAGCAGATAAACCGGGTCTTTGCTTTATTTTTATTTCCTGTCTAACGATAGTGAGTCGACCACATCAAAGTCATTTAAATGAAAAGTTTATTTTATGTGTTGCTGTGACGTCAGCTGCGCCTCAGAAACATCGCTTCCTGTTTGCCTTTAAAACGAGATCTGGACCGACCCGTCTGTCCTGTCTCCAGGTACTCTGAGGGCCTCAAGGTTCTGCTGAGCTCCATAATGGTTTCAAACCCCCAGGAGAGACCGAACATCATCTGGGTTCTGGACCAGGTCCAGGACCTGCAGAGTCGCAGTCCGAACACTCAGACCAACATGGTGTGATTGTCCCGGTGGGACCACGGACACTTGGACCATCACTGAGAAACTTTCTTTATTCCAGCTTCAATTTATTTTTATTTCTTGGGTTTATTGTAAAAACCTGACTGTTTTATTTGTTCTTCACCAGCTTGGTTTTATTTTGAGTATTTTTTCACGTGACCTTGAAATGAAAACGTTTAGTCCTTTATAGATCTAAATCAAATGCCTTAAGTGTCATTTATTAAAGAAGTGCAATAATTTACTTTGACGTTTAGAAAAATCTGCAGTTTGGGCTCGCTGATAACTGAACAAGGAGATCAGTTTATCTCAAACCGTAGCTGTTTATTTCACTTTAATTTGGATTAATTTAGCTGAAAAAAACAACTGGAACCAGTTATCTGGTTCTGTTGGAGAGTTAAACTCAGTCTGTCTAAAATGTTCCTTACAGTTTTTTTGGTGTCTCACTGTCCAAAACAAGCATCAGAGTAACTTTCAGAGTAACTTTCAGAGTAACTTTCAGAGTAACTTTCAGAGTACCGGACGGGTCGATTTCACTTTGTTTTACTTTGGAATGGTTCTTATGCTAATTTAATGACCGGCTACAGGAAATATGCATTTCTTTCCTTTTAAAAAGATCGACTTTTATCAACTTTTTATCTTCCTCAAAAAAATATTTTAGCTAATTTCAGCAATGTCACGTAGCCGCTACGATTGTTAGCATTTGTAGTTTTTAGCTGCCAGACCACTTCAGCAAGACGTGCTTTTATATATATTGATTTTATTATTTCTTGTTATAACAAATGTGACAGATTCCGACAAAGCTTTAAAATCCTTCTAAAACGTTTTAACTTTGTTAGAGTTGTTTCGTTAGGAGAAAAATTGACCACATTGAAATTTATTATAAATGCATGTTTTGACCCCGTATTTACATGAAGTAACGCCTTCCTTTCAGTTACAGGTTTTTATATTTACTTTTAACCATCCTTGTAGATTATTATGTCAGCCCAGTAGGCGATGCTCCTCCTTTATATTTGAGGGATGCTGTAAAAATCACGGTCGGGGGCGGAGCCTCACCTGAAGAGGTGCTGGACGTTCCTGTGGACTCCAGTCTCTCATCTCGTCCGACAAAACGGTTTTAGTTTGCATGTAAAGAACAAAACAAAAACACGCCTGCATTGTGCACGAGTCAACATTTGGTACAAAACAGTAGACCGGACTGCAGCAGCTTGGCGGTCCAGTTCTGTAAAGGTTAAAAATGATGATGTGCACTGGTGTGCATGAGTGAAGTCTTAGGGAAAATAATTAGGTACGAGATAAGATAAGATAGAACTTTAATGATCCCACAGGAAATTATTGTGTCAGAGTTTCAGTACAAAGGAACATGCACAAGGAATCACACACGATGTAAAAATACCATAATATAAAAAGAGAATATAAAAATACCAACAGTTCTAAAACAGGTCGGGTGCAGACAGAAACATTCAAGTGTTTATTGTAGTACAGGATTAATTTTATTGTCCTGTGTGTAGAAAGGGGGAGGAGCTGAAAAGTTTGATAGCCACGAGGAGGAAGGACTTCCTGTGATGTTAATAAAACTGCTGGGGGGGGGGGACTGGATGGTCTTCAGAAAACTGGACTAGAAATGTTTTGAAAGTGTCATTTAAAAATCTATGGGAGAACATGGGATTGTTAAATTTTATATAACTTATTTTTTCAAAAAATGCCATAAAATAAATATTTGGTGAAGTTAGTAAAAATTGAACTATGTAGGTTTGTTCAACCAAAGGCCATTTAACGAGTTGAATACAAACAGAACTTTAAATTTATTTATAGCTCTCCAAGTCACAACAGAAGTCATCTCAGGGCACTGAACAGAAACGTACACGTAAAAAAAGCCGTTTTTATTTTAGGCTGGTAGCTCTGAAGGATAAATAGTATGACTCAGCAGTTTTCTATAAGGTGGTCATTTTTATTTTTTCCAGGACGTTGTAATTATAGTTAAAAGACCTTTTGGGTTTTTTTAATGAACAGGGCACTTTAATGTTTTTGTTGTGAAAAGGGAAAATCTAAACGCTTTACTGAACAATGTGAATAAAAGCTGCTCGAGTTAAATTTCAATCCAGATTAGTTTACATTCCTTCAGAAAGAAATCGGTCTCGTCGCCGTTTTTAATTCCTCGTTTAAATCTCGAGTCCTCCGTTTGTTTCTGCACGTTTCTCTGGAAACACGATTTTTTTTTCACACGTTTTTAGCTTAAACTGGACCCACCAACCTCACATTTCACATGACGATAACTGTTGGCAGTTCGTGTGACAATGCCAAACCAAATCTGTTTTGAAATTATTTTAATGTTTAAGAAACGGACTAAGACGTGTCTTATAAAAACTGAGACAATAACACTCATAACAGTTTGGTATTTTCCATCTCAGCTGACGTTTATTTCTGTTTTCCTGTCGTGTGAACGTCTCAGGGTTCGGTTCCATCGCTGGAGGTCTTCGTTAGACCCCAACGGTACCTTTAAAGGTTTTACATTTAATCATATTTGGGGCATTTATGTTTAACTTGATGCTTCTGTAACTCAGTGATGAAGATGAACGGCGTTCGACTCAAACGTTATTTTAAATATTTTATCTTTTATTGCAAAGTTTGAATTTAAAGGCTTGTGTTTGTATAAATAAAACTGGTTTAATGCTGCTGGTGATAAATGTGCATTGGTGAAAATCTCAGCTGTTAAGAAGGATGTGCTCATTATTTTTAAAAAACTGAACTTTAGTTATAGCACAAAAAGGAGTGTTTAAATAATATGTATACTGTATACTTTTGATGAATTATGAAATAAATTATTTCATGCATTTATCCTCTGGAAAGCAAAGTGTGCGTCTTTTGTGTCATAAATGACATTTTTATCCATGCAGATGTTTTAAACCTGCGTCTCTGCAGCTGGTTCACGAAGTTTCCAAAAAGTCTCAAAACCTTTGCGAAGGTTTTCACTTCCCTCGCGCTCGTGGGGCAAGAGTTTGGAACACGTTTAAAAAAAACCTGCCAAACAATTTTTCTCTGAAATCCGTTTCAGTTTGCAGCTCCGGTTTCAGAAAAGGTTGGAGGTTGTGCAAAATTTAACCAGAGAGCAACGATTTTGAAATCTCATCAATCCATGTTTTACACGCAAACACCAAATGTTTAAACGTACGAATCCGAAACAGCTGACGGAACATTTTCTAACTCGATGGGTTCATATCAGATTTTTACTGATGGTCTGAGCGTGATTTATTCAAGTCCGACCCAGGTCTTCTTCTGTGGTTCTGAATCAGATCCATATTTGATGTTTTTCAGTGACCTCAGTCAGAACTCCACACGTCCAGCTGCTTTGTCTTTTTTATTTCATCGTGTCCTGATGACTGAGACTAACGTCCGATACCAGCACTGGTGTTGGACCGAATCGATGCCATTGTGATGGATTCGTCTTTTAGTTAGTTTCAACTGTCAGTACGTCGCTCCTGGTCCAGAAGTGACATTCTCCACTGCAGTAGACAAGAAGAGGCCGGATCCATTGTAAACACTGGACCAGACAATCCTGTTGGATAAGAATTAAATCGGTTCTGATGGCCCAACAACCTCAGAACCGATCCAAACAGGCTAGCCTGCATAGCCTCCCCATTACCTTTGGTAACTGTGGACTGTTCACTCAGAGTCTGATGGAGGTTTAAATTATAATCTGAACGACCTGAAACATCAGATCTGAGCTTTAAGAGCTGCAGGGTGAGCTGAGCCTAAAGGGACGGGGCATAAAATGAACATTTTAGAGACTGAATTTCTTACGAGTAAAGATGGACAGAGGCTCACCAGCCTGCAACTAAAAAAATCAATTTCAGATTAATGTTCCTCAACAGAAAATCAAGAAGACTTTGAACCTCCATCATCTCCAGTTCAGAATCTCATCCACTGATTAGAATAATCTGTAGAAATCTCTGACCTCAAAGGACTAGGCTGAAGGTCAATATTGGATGGCTGTGATCTTTGGGCCATCAGGTCATCTACAGGTTTTAGAACATCTGCTCCCACCGTGGAAAGAAGATCAAAGACTGTTGAACAGCTAGAATCCTCCATCAGACCAGAATGGGACAACATTCCCTCAAAAACCTCCAACAACTGGTCTCCTCAGGTCCTCCAAAACCTCCAACAACTGGTCTCAGATCCTCCAAAACCTCCTACAACTGGTCTTCTCAGGTCCTCCAAAACCTCCTACAACTGGTCTCAGATCCTCCAAAACCTCCTACAACTGGTCTTCTCAGGTCCTTCAAAACCTCCAACAACTGGTCTTATCAGGTCCTCCAAAACAAACAACTGGTCTCCTTGGGTCCTCCAAGACCTCTAATTGGCCACCAAATCCTCCAACAACTGGTCTCCTCAGGTCCTCCAAGCCTTCCAACAACTGGTCTTCTCAGGTCCTCCAAGCCCTCCAACAACTGGTCTCCTCAGGTCCTCCAAGCCCTCCAACAACTGGTCTCCTCAGGTCCTCCAAAACATCCAACAACTGGTCTCCTCAGGTCCTCCAAATCCTCCAACAACTGGTCTCCTCAGGTCTTTCAAGCCCTCCAAAAACGGGTCTCCTCAGGTCCTTCAAGCCCTCCAACAACGGGTCTCCTCAGGTCCTCCAAGCCCTCCAACAACAGGTCTCCTCAGGTCCTCCAAGCCCTCCAACAACTGGTCTTCTCAGGTCCTCCAAATCCTCCAACAACGGGTCTCCTCAGGTCCTTCAAGCCCTCCAAAAACGGGTTTCCTCAGGTCCTCCAAGCCCTCCAACAACTGGTCTCCTCAGGTCCTCCAAGCCCTCCAACCATTGGTCTACTCAGGTCCTCCAAGCCCTCCAACAACTGGTCTCCTCAGATCCTCCAAAACCTCCAATAACTGGTCTTCTCAGGTCCTCCAAATTCTCCAACAACTGGTCTCCTCAGGTCCTCCAAAACCTCCAACAACTGGTCTTCTCATATCCTCCAAATCCTCCAACAACTGGTCTTCTCAGGTCCTCCAAATCCTCCAACAACTGGTCTCCTCAGGTCCTCCA